CTAGTTAATTGTTGTTATCGCCTAACACCAAGAGTATTTTCTATATTACACTTATTAGTCACAATTATCTGACTTGATACACTATAGGACAAGGGATACAGAGCAAAAACTTTTACAATAGCTACTTAAAACAATACTCATTCTGAATTTTTATTCTCTGGTAAATTATAGATATTTTTTTTAAATCTAGCTTCGATCTTTAATCCTATTTGCTAACGTATACACATTTATTAGAAAATAAGATGTATATCAGCGAAATGTCTCAACGATTTTCTAGAACACTTTGGCCTAGAACTGCAGTGGGAACTATACTAAAATGTGTAACTAAAGCAGCACTAACAGACTTCTACCAGATTTGGGAGTGTTGATGTATGCAAAGGGCCGGTAATATAATTATCTACACCCGGGTCACAAGTCCCGGAAACTACACGGAGTTTCCCTCTCTGCCACACGATGGACCTGGCACAAGCATGGTGAATCAAGGAATGCTAAGAAGTTTGTGTCTGTACTTTAAATATATGTCACTAATTTCATAATATAATGACTCATCCCTCGGTACTGTACTGTATACTGTACTCGGTACATTTGTGAAACGAGAGGAGTCTCCTCGTCACATTTTTAAAACTTACCCTCACTTTTGTATCGTCACATTTTGCAATTTTACACTAGTAATCCAAGTATAAACTCATTATCAAAACAATTTTTATATACCTAGATTAAAAATATTTTTTATTTTTATTTTTTTCTATAATATAGTAAAGGTAGTTATTAGATTTTGAAACATGAGGCTATGAAATTTAATACCTCTCTCACCCCATTGTCACAGACTATATCGGGCCCCTCCCTACCCTTCAAAGTGTTACGTAATTAATGGATGGACCCTAAAGATGTTGATGGATTCATTGATTGATTGGTTGATATGTCTATGAAATAGTGATGCTCACGATATTTTTCGTATTGCTTAAGTTTATATAACTGTTACCAGTTTCCAAATTGAGGTAATGCTTAAGCCTCAAATCTGAAAACTCTATATATACTCTAGTTTCAGATTCCTAACTTCTTATGACCCTTACCGACACATTAAACAAAATGTTTCTCTGTCGAATTGAAATAAAACGTAATAATGCCATTTAATATATTCAACATCTTTCTACCTTCTTATTCCTATCTAATGAAATATTTACAAAGTAGAATATCATTAGTAATTAACATACAGTTCTGTTTTACGTATACTGTCTTTGAGAATTTCATACAACCAATTTTGAAATTAATTACCAAACCGCCACTGTTTGTTGAAATAAAACAAGATGAGCAAATACGACATGTTCACATCTGTTTCCAACTTCTAAATGCCTCAGGCTCCATTGCAAATCGCATGAACTGCACGCACACACAAATTATGCCTTTCATTTACGTAATTGGAATGCCAAACGAGCTGATAGTCCACCTGATGCGAAATAGAAACTGTCGCACATATACATGAATAGCACTTCACTACATAGGAACGTTATGCCTTTTATGTATGATTTTACTATATAATCTGCACTCTATAACCGAAACGCAGTTTACAAAGCCAGCTGCTTGGACGACTCGAGCTTGGCGACTGAAATAGCGTGATTGTTAGCAATATCGACTAATAATCCCATTGGTAGCAATGCACCTACAGGTTGATCTCCACGCACATACTACAACGATTTTAATGATTTCTCATTTGCTTGTTCTAACTCCGCCCTGTATAGCACTAACTATCAAAATATCAGAAAATTCACAGAAGAAAGATATTTTGGAATACATATAAAATTAGGCTAGAGGATAAATGACAACTGTCAGTATTCAATCGATTGGTCTCGTTTATTCCAGATTGGGCCAGTTCAGTCATCCTGTCAGTATTAAATCACGAAAATGTAATATTCATTTACTGGTGTGCTATATGTATTTTACAGAGGAACATTATCTCTAAATTTAATTAAAATTTATACATGTAGTTATAAAAAATTAAAGTCATATTTTTACAGACATTTCTACTTAATTCGACAAGTTGATGCTTCATTCCTTTCGCAATAATCTGATTACTTTAATATTTCCACGTAATAACAGAATCCTGTAATCAATAATCTGAAAAGTATTTTCCGAACTAGATACCGAGCAGATTAATAAGTCTGATATTAGGTTTCTATACCAACTAAAGGGTAAGAATTATTCGGTATATAATTCTTAGAATTCCACAAAGAACAAAGATTTTCTATATTCGTAATCCAATTTGAGTTGTCAAGGTGACAATCCTACACATATTTCTTTATGAAACAACAGACAGTTTTCCTTTACCTCTAATGCTAAAAATCCAATGTCATAAAAAAGGTAAATTAAAACCATGTCGAGTGGAGTGACATCATAAGCATGTTGATGACGTCAATATCGTCAACTATGAACAAAGACAGATCTCAACCACACATTTACAATGTAATTGCACGAATTGCAGCATTTGCTCACAGCAGAACGCAATTTTCCAGGTTGCGATGCATTCATGGATGTTTAGAACTGACGCTTACCGATTACGCTGACTTTTAATCATAATAAAAAGCAAGTGAGGGTAATGTCAGGTCGACCTCACTCTGAAAATCATGGTTATTAACAACCACTTGGTAAATTTGCTGTTATGGGCTAACTGATATAACTACATCCTCATCCTTCTGGTCCATTCAGTGATGTCCCGCCATCATATACCGTAAGCATTTCATTTTCAGCCTTAAAAAAAGAATCTAAGTTAGAAATTTTAATGACAATCAATCACTGATCCTATGAGGATTCACAGAAGTCATCAAAATATTTTAATGTTCCATGTGATTTTTTTTGTGTGTAAAATGAACTTTGACATACAAACTGATTTAAACTTCGATACATTTTAACCGAATTTTATTAAGCAGCGTTGCGAGACTCACCTATTTGTATCATCTGTAATATATACGTATACTAGTTTGATAATTGGACAAATTTTACTAATACATATTTTGAATTCATCAGTAATTGATTCTAAAATAATATTAATATCTATTTTGATGGTTGGTTAAAAAATAATTCTAGTTATATTATAGAGAGCTTTGTGTCCGAGCGATTTAAGTATCATAAGTTAAAATTTACCAATACCAAAAATATTGTCTCCAAATTTATATGTCTGACTAGCTCTTGGTATTAATAATCGATAACGAAATTTGCGAAAGACGACGCGACGCGACGGTGGGTTCGGTTCGTCTCCTGCATAATTGGAATTAAATATTCTGAACGGAATTTGGATATGTCAAGTATTGCGTTCACGTCGACAGTTGCCAATGCCACTGATTACCCCACCTAAAATTTCACACGCATACCGTCACGACTGACATCCACACACACAAACACACACAAAACTCTCGACATGTACTTATTTCGCCTACGCCATCTTTTGGATCAGTATGGTTTGTTAGTTCGGCGTTGCTATCCAAGGCCCATTCCATATGGTGGGTGCGGAAGACCCTATGTCTGTCTGAAGTCATCACCAATGAGTCATTCATACATATAAATTGACCTATAATTTTTTGTCCTAAAAATCAGCCTAATTCGAAATCACCATTATTCGGGGTAAATCGGGGTTATAAACTAATAGTAGTGGCCTTTAAGTTCACGCTCTTATTATGAATCATACTAATATTTTTTTAATGGATGATATTGAAATGGTGTACCCTCTGACGCTAACTGGTTGGAGACTACTAGAGGATAACAGGATAGGCATGAAATCAGGTTATGGAAGTTAGACTAGCAAGTCTACCAGAAATTAGCGATGTTATTTCCCAGGAGGAACCGCGTGAGGTGGACTGGGTGGACACTACATAAGGCACTGGCTTCTGTTACTAACAATCCCTTCCCTCCTATAAGTATCATCATTTCAGTGAGCGCTAACCCTTTGTCGCAAGGGAAGGGGGAAAATATGCATTTTGCTGATAATGTAAAATCTCAAATGCGTATGCCTATTGTGATTGTTGAGTATAGTGGCATTTTGTAGCTATAACAGTTGTTTAAACTATATGAATCAGTTTTTACCCAAGATCCAAATAGGTCAACGGTGTGTTTTTATGTCATACACAATTTGCAACATTAACAGTTAGTAATAATATTAATCTGATATAATTAACACATCTATTCTACGTTCTAACTTTATTGCATTATGAAGTATTTAGCTAAAATATTAAGGTATTCGAATTGATCCTTGGGGTTTATAACAATATTTTTCTGACACGTTTTTTAATCAACACAAACAGATAGCAAGAATAATTATTTATATCCAAGCTGTTCTGAGTACTATCTTGGATATCATAGTACGTCTTGTAACAATCATTAGATATTGCATATTATAAGGTTGTAAGTTCTCGAGGTCGTGTATAAAAGATTGCTTCTAGCGGTTCTGATAATAAGGTCGTTTTTTGTTAGTCACATTATTAGAAAACAGTTTAGACTTTTTTTGTGTGTGAAATTGTTTTTTTATAGAGTTGATAAGTAATTGGAATGGCAAACACGCTTAAGACCACCTGATGATAAATGGCAAAAGTTGGCTATATACATAAAATGAGTTTTGAAAGAAGTCCAGAGGAGCTTTCTCCCGTGTGAATGTGGAATGAACTATCTGTCAAGGTTTTCTGGACAGACTACGACATGAGGCTTTCCAAGACGAATATATTACAGTTTTTTTAAGAGTCAGAATCGCACCTGACGCCCCTGGTGTTTCACGCGTCTGTAGGCATAATAAAGTGTCCATAAAATTGGATTATTGCAATATGATTTAAATAAACAAAAATAAGAAATACAACAATGTAGTCCAGCTAATTTAATAAGACTTAAAAAACATATTTTTAATAATTCTAAAGAACACGATCAATTGTCTCTTATATATATTCTATCTCTTTCCTTCACGATACATCTGCAACATTATAACTGCACAGGTTGAATCAATATTTAGGTGGTAATAATACTTAATGATCTAAACAGTCTTCGGTTTGCTTAACTTGTAGATATAAAACTTCACTATTACTTCTACATTCCCTCTTAGGTATGTCATCTTCTGCGCTGTGTCCAAGCTTGTAACCTTGCGAGAGGTAGCAGAAGACTACCATCGCACCGAATATCAGACCGGTGTAGAAAAAGAATTGTGTTTCCTGTGGATATAATAATAATAATATGTCAGCACAAATTACGCCATCGCCATCTAGTCCCAAGCTAAGCAGAACTTGTGTTATGGGTACTAGTCAGCTGATAGAAATATATATAGATATATTTTTTAAGTACATACATAATACATAGAAACCCCGACCAATACAAATAATTATACTCATGAATAAAATCGGTAGGAATCAGACCTTCTACTATCGGAAGTAAGTCGGTGTGCTAAACCAACTACTGAAACAATCGGAAAAATTTTTAAAAAACATACCCATTAATACAAATGCACCGTGCATGGAATCGAACCCACAACCATCGGATGTAAGGCATGCTAAACCGCTAGACCACCAAGGCCGTCCATGTAGAATATAAATAAATAAATAAATCGTTTATTTAATTGCTATAAATCACATTCTATAAATATGCAATACAAGTTCGACATAAAATTAATAAGTTTGTGTCATTATGTATGATCTGCAGTGAAAAGATCCTGATCTCAATGTGGAAGATTCTTCAGAGAGCAGTGATTTTCAGCTTCAACTCATTTAAAGATATTGAAATATAAAATAATATGCAATTTAGAAGTGCTTATATTAAATCTATTTGAATAAAGACTATTAAATATTAAACGTAATTTATTAAACCTGTATTTCAGTCGCCCACTCTGATCTCACTCTCACGCAGCACTCTACTGTTGAATTTCAGCTTGAATAGTGAATGTATCACCAAAAGTACTAATGCAAATTATTATCTTATTAATATTATAAACGTGAAAGTATGTGAGTATGGATGGATGCAATGATAAATGGATATTTGTTACTATTTTACGCAAAAAGTACAGAACGGATTGTGATGAAAGTTTACAGAATAACATATAGGCTATAAATCGCTTGCAGGAGAAACCGCGGGCACAGCTAGTTTTATATAAAGTCTACGTCGGTTTATATAATAGAAAAAAATATATTGATTTTTGCTATACCTGACGGTAGTTGACGAATAATCTCGTGATGACAATGATAATGACGTTCCCCACAGCTTCGGTGAGCAACCACACCGCCATCATCACCGCTTTCATACTCTCTGGTGATTCTTTGAATGCGAACTCATTGCCCGTCACACAGAACAATACCTAATAATTTATACACAGATTAATAATTATATTAATACGTGATGCAAACATTTTGTACTCCTTGTTACGAAAATTGCGCGGATGGAGGCGTATGTAATTTCGCGCACTAAAGTTTATAAAAAGAAAGAATGCAGAAAGCTAATATTTGTTTTTATTATGCATACAGAATACATTACATCAATAAAAAAACATTACACACACTACCATAAAAATTACACACACACGCATAGAAGTCTTTAATAATCTTCAAATTTATAATTGAATTTATATAATATGGTCAAATTTTGACCACTATGTAACCACTGGTTATAATAATAGCTCCATACAATTTACACAGTGCTGTCTATTTTTCAAGAAAATACTTCGTTTAATGAAATACTAATAAAATAATTAAAATATTTTGTTGTATATATATCCATTTATACATATAATAGAAATAAAACTGATTGCTACCTGTGCTTACATTAAGATATATTAGAATAACTATTATTCAGAGACTTTATCGCTCTATAAGTCATTCCAGGGGTTTGGAGTGCCATCTGCACTCGCCCCCTATAGTTCGATAAAGCTGTAAAGGCCAGCTGCGGCCAACAGCATTAGAATAATTCCAAAAAAGGAGCAAGCAAGGAGCAATATATAATAGAACTAAAAACAACGTATGTCCCAATTTTTATATATTTCTCCGTTTGCTGGTATGTACTTATATTAGAAAGAGATTAACCGATTAGACTGCAGTTTTCCCTAATGTACGGTACACTTTATGTAAAGTGTTTCTGTTTGTTTTATTATTATAAGTTCATATAAAAGTGTATGGGCACGAAATCGCGGTATTAGCAAGTACATAATATAAAAGGCTCAAATCAAAACGAGCAGTATAATTTATAAATATAAATGTTGTATTGTGTGGCAATTTACTCAATTATAATAAGATACAGCACTAAACGTCTACATTACCAAGGTCAATATGGCATATTTATTAAAACAACAATTATTCGTCAACGAGTGCTGCTTGTAGGGACTAGTCATAGTTACCAATGCAAGGTAACTATGACTTCAAGAAGAGATTAGATTTATCTTTTTACTCAAGTAACTATTTATTTACATATGTTAACTTTGCTATGTGGCAGTTTTCATTCATACAAAAATGTAATATTAAACAATATTTATTTAAAAGAGTCTTTCTCATTCTACTTGAGTCAAGTCTGTGTTCCGAATGAGTGTTTAGAAAAGAAATAGGACTACTAAAAATTTAAGTTAGTAGTAGTAGTAAAATTCACCTTTTAACCTTAACAATGAAATAGGACCTATAAACCAAATAGAATTGATTAACTGAACGTGTAATAGAAATAATCTTTATTCAAATACACTTAATTTTTATAGGTCCTATTTCATTGTTAAGGTTAAAAGGTGAATTTTAATTAACAGTAAGTTAATTGAAATTATTCAACATTGAAGGCCATTGAACTGGAATTGGATATTGAAATGAACCGCAGACTACCCTTACTCATATGTACTTTTGCGGTAACAGACAGACGGACGATGACGCGCGAACTAAATTGTACCATATCGTGTTTTAATAAGAGTTGTTTTTTATTTAACGTAATTCATGGAAACTGTAACTTGACCTGATACACGATTAACATTATAACAAATAAAATGTACCAGATGAGATTCTTACCGGTACTTCACAACTGATAGGTGCCGGGGCAAAGTGCAAAGGGCTCACCCCGAAATCCCTCCACCCCATAATGGGGTGTAAAAGACTTGGATCTGTTTATGGGTACTAGGCAATAGATAGAAGTACTTGAATACATTTCTTTTGTAAATACATTGAAAATATTATATTATACATAAAAAACACTTATACTAATACAAAGAATCATATTTATGTACACAAAATGTCTGCATCGGTAGGAATCAGACCTTCTACTATCGGAAGTAAGTCGGTGTGCTAAACCAACTACTGAAACAATCGGAAAAATTTTTAAAAAACATACCCATTAATACAAATGCACCGTGCATGGAATCGAACCCGCGACCATCGTTAGTAAAGCGGTGTACTAAACCGCTAGACCACCGAGACCTTTAAAGGTTGAAACAATAATATAATGCGAATAAAATAGAAGTACCTCGGCAATGGACATAATTAAAAATTGTGGAAGCAGCCACGCCATTGTGAAGGAATTAGCTTCAGTGATTACTATTAAATTGTATGTCTGAAACAAAAAGTAATACACTATGTATAGTAGAAGTAATAAGTAATATAAATACATATTAAACTACAATTGCATTAAATACAAAAGGATTTTAATTTTCACTGAAAATACAGTGAAAAGTGAGTGAAAATACCTCTCTACATATAACTACCCTAAGCGCGAAGTATACCCAAAGCACTTTTGTGATCGTAGTTTCTGACAGGGGTTTTGATGCAATATTATACCACATTAATACAGTATTAAAAATTTGTATGTGTGCGTTTATTACAGTATTACGACTAAATATCTAAAAGGATCTAAATTAAATTTGACACGAAAAAAGATACCATCAGAACGTAGAAAGGCTTGTTATCTCAAAAATACAGACAAAATCGTAATAGTTAAAAAATGAAACAATATACGAAACTGCTACATAACTTATAATACTTACTAATATAATAAATTTCAAAGTAACTGAAACTTATTTTTTAGGCTATTGATTAAATACAAATAAATCTGACATTCAAAGTTTGTAAAAAATTACCCTTAAGGGGGTAAAATAGAAGTAAAAAACGATGAATTTCCATACAAACTTTTTGTATGGAAATTCATCGTTTTTTGAAGCTAGAACGATGAAGCTACTATTTTTTTAATATTTTCGGTTTTTTTTTTATTTGTTCACGATTACCTTTCCACGCAGATGAAGTCGCGGGCACGGTTAATTAAGTCTATATAGAGTACTTTAAACACATTATATACTCACATAGTCTTTCCCATTGTTATCAATCAGCAAAGCATACACTCCTCCGCTCTCCATTGCAATATTAGGCGCGATTATATCCTCATCACCTATCCTCAAAGAGTGTAATCCCGAAAATACTTCCATCTGCGATGAAACCTTTTTACTAAGCTGTGCTTCTAACATATTCTTGTTATCTCTTACAAATACCATATCCGTGGTATTAACAGCTTCTGATATTAAAAATCTAGAAAATTTAAGTCTATGTAATATGACAATTGTAACACATATGTATGTATAATAGGGTGATTTATAATAATACGTATAATATATAATAGGGAGACGTAATTATTTGGTATTATTATATTAATACATGAAGATACAATACATATAGTATGTGTAAAGTTTTTTTTATTGGATTAAAGTAATTTTTATGCATATTTTTAACAAAATATTAGCATTCTCTATCTATATATATAAATAAAATTGAAGTATCCGCCTGTAATATTGATATAACCGTTTTTTACTACATGCATATGAATATGAACACGGTACCTACACCAAAATAACTTTTTTTACAAGTTTTGTCTGTCTGTCTGTTTGTTCCGGCTAATCTCTGAAATGGCTGGACCGAGTTTGACGGGACTTTTTTTGGCAGGTAGCTGATGCAATAAAGAGTAACTTAGGCTACTTTAATTTTAGAAAAACAGAGCTACTTTTTAGGTATATTTTTTAAAAATAGTTAAATTTCACGCGGACGAAATCGCGAGTAGAGCTAGTATAAACTATAAGTGTGCGAAATTTTATACTCGTTCTTCCGCGTCATTTTCGTAAGAAGTTGTACAAAGTTTTATTTCACGTAATAATATAATGACTTTTTTTATTTTACAATCATTTTGCATTCATATAATAATAATTGGTATTTATCGGGAATTTAATGAACTTGCTATGTCGTCGTCTGAAGTCGAAACAATTGTCGAGAAAAACGAAAATATAGTAGTTCATTAAAGCTTCATCAAATTCCATAAATTTTTTTTATTTGTCTAGTATTTGACATTACGCCTTTGTAGCTGAGCCTTTTCTTATATTAGTTGTACAAAGAAACGACTTAACGGATTTGAATACAATCTTCACTAATGGAGATATTGTAGTAAGTTTTACCGCAACATTTAGTATTTGTTTCTGTTTTGCATTTGTTCACAAATAGAAGTTATTTTTCTTTTTATATTTTATTTATTTCAAGCAACTAGGCTCATATTATAATTACCTTATAGATTTTAGTCTATAACATAGGAATTAATATTATAAAACTAATATATTGATATTATCTGTGTCGTTACGGCACTTACTAACCTATAGTTATTCCAAAACAATAATCTCTTATTTCTTATTTTTATTTTAACTATGAGTAAAATAAAAATAAGAAATAAGAGATTATTTTTATACTTATTTTATGTCGTATCGGCTTGTGAACGAGATTTTTTTTAATAAGAATATATTAGTAATTGTGTTAAAATTACGGCGTAGTTACTTCAAAATAAAATTATTTATTTAATATAGTCCCAAATATAGTATATATTACTTTGTGGTAATATTATTATGTTCCTAACCGAAAAATATTATTTTCAGCAGGTAATTCTCAAGATATGTACGAAGAGAAATTAAATTGTTACTACATATTACAGATATTAAAAATAGAATATGATTGCTACGAAATTAAATAGGAGACATGTATATTAAGTAATATATACATATTTCTGGCAATGTAGATATACATCTATATATTCTTATGTATACTGTACTCAATACTAGAGACACACCTTGACTTCGCCCAGTGTACAGTGCATGTGATCGAGGTTATACAACTATATGCATAGTTATAGCACTGTATATGTTTACATGCATTTGTTTATACATAAAACTGAAAAAATTCCGGAATGCGTAAAAACACAGAGACTGTAGCCGATACAGTTAAGCGTGGAGTGGTGAAATATTCAGTAATGAAAAACGATAGAAGTTTACAGCTGTCCGTGTCGCTTGCACATATATAGCGTGAGGATAGTGGACGCGTTCGCCTGCGGTGCGAGATAAGTGATAACTGCTATAGTTGTCGCTATTTACGCACAAGCGGCGGGATCAATTTAATTACCAAATAAGTAGGTATACAGGTTTGTAACATTAAGTTTTACAGATACACCCTACAAACGAACAATATATTTTAACAGTGAAGTATCAATTTATACATATATATAGTAAAAGGTAAGTATGGATTTATATATACATTATGGTTATTTCTATATGTTTTATGTGTTTTTATTTTTATTAATATTTTAGTTTTATTTTACAGATCCGGTTTGCAGTCGCGAGGCACGTCGGCTACAGAGACGAAAACAGCGACTTTGCTTTATACTATTCACATATAATCTTACTAAAATTATAAACCCGGAAGTTTGTGCGTGTGGATGGATGTAGGTTTATTCACGCAAAAATCACTGAATGGATGTTAATAAAACTTTAAAATAATACTTATACGTCAGAATAACATATAGACTATAAATTTCATGCGGGTGAAGCCACGGGTAGAGATAGTGTATACTAATATACCTTCAAGATTGTTATACCATATGGGGTATTCAGATACCTTGTCAATTGTCGACGTCTCGGCGTGGCATCTTGGTGGCGCAACACTTAACTTACTCACTTTACACAGTGTACATTTGATTGTATCATGGCAAGTGGCAATCTTAATTTCTCGCATTCTTTTAGATTAATGTCGGTGTTTACATAACTAAAGAATCTATCAGAAACGTGAATTGACACACGAAAGTTTTTTTAGTATCAGCCAGATTCGTACGCAGTACTTTTCCATCAAGTTGGGATAGCAAACTACTAAGTCACAACGCTTTCAAAATAGAAACAATAATGTACGATATCGTACCTGATAATTGGAAATCCGGATTTACTCTTGTCCACATTGTCCTTAAAACTATAAAGTTGATTGCCACTCAAAAAGAAAGAGTTAGCACTATTCTCTTCTAAATATAACATCTTTTCTGTTGGTTTTATACAACTGCCAGCTATCTCGAAATTTATATTGTCTGCTCCTTTCACTCTAATGTCCTTTTTTACGAAGTGTGACAGAGACGGAATAGTATATGTTATATTTTGATTATAACTATGCAGGGAAATTGGACATTGATTTCCGTTGAAAAACCGCAACTGAGCGTAGCCTGGTGTAGGCAGTTCTGGATACTTTGTCTAAAAATAGATTTAAACATGTAAATAAGCTGAGAATTTGAATTTAAACATATATGTAAATAAATTTCTTATATGCGTATATAAAATTCTCGTGTCACAATGTTAGTTACCATACTCTGCCAAAACTGCTTGACCGATTTTTATGAAATTTTATGTCTATTCAGCCTATTCGGCTCTTATCTATTTTTCATGCTCCTAAGTAATAATGGTTATCCACCTCTAACATATTATTTTTATTTTTTGGACATTTTTTTATAATGTGACATTAGAATATACCTACATATAACCCAAAATTTTCACTCTTCTGTAACCAATACCTATCTATATATAACCTATTTTTATAGCAATTTTAATTTATATGGCAAAACAACCTTTTTACGTTTAAGGGGGCAGCTAGTTTTTTTGTATATAATTGGAATGGCAAATAATCGATTTTCCAATTGGCTAGGATTTAATTGCCGTACGATACGTACGAGTACATTTCTATTCATGAAGTTATCGGTTATTTCTGATTCAATCCCCTGTTCCCCCCATTCGAATGTGAATTTAAATTTGGATGATTCACACTCCTACTAGACTCTTGAACTATAATTGTGTTCGACAGGCAGAGTTAGCCTTCAGTCACTTTATTAGACAAACCACAGGTTTAGTGTTGTCATCATAGCTATTTTTATCAAGCTTTAAAGTTAGCTAAGGCCAACAGCATTAATAATAATAATGTATATAATTATTAGATTAGTTACTCTATAGAATATCATATATCATTATTACTATTATATTCCTGGACAATTGACACAATGCCATCTAGTCCCAATCTAAGCATGTCTTGTGTTATGAATAGGTACTACAACAGAACTTATGTAAATATTTAGATATATTTTTTTGCAAATACATATATAGAAAACACCCAGACAAACATACTCATGAATACAAATATTTGAAACATGCGAGAAATCGAACCCGCAACCATCAGAAGTTAAGCGTAGTTAAACCACTAGACCACAGTGGCCGCCAGTCATTATTTTGAGAATGTAGGAGAAAACGAATATATTGCAAAACGGAAACCCACCCACCGTCTCTCCAATGAATTTGTTTTATATAATAAAGGCAATAATTATTAAATTAGAAATTAAATGAATGTCGATTCAAATTATAATATTGTTTCGTAACAAAATATACAAGCTTTATTCATCGTAATTAATTAGTCGTTATACACACATAATTAGTTCAAATGAAGCCAATTCAAATATATTATTATTGAATGAAATACGTACGCTTATATAAATCTCAACGAGCCCTGATACTATAAAAGCCACTCCAGCTAATATTCCGCCCAATGTCAACTTGTGTAGAGGATTCTTCAGTATATTCCTTTTTTCCAGGAATGGATAAATATACTGAAAAGAAACAAGATATTGCCTGGATGAAGGTAAGATTACGACGTCTATTGTTCCTTGCTTTTATGGGAAAATTAAAATTTGTACTCGCTGGTTATTAAACAATAATTGGAGAAGACAATATCTAATAATGATCTGATTATTGTCTATGCATTAAATATGTAATGAAAAAAACGATTATAAGGATACTTTATCGACGCAATAAAACATAAAATAATGATCTATGGTACGCTTTTAAACAAAGCTTAAAAAATTTATTGCTGTTTACCCTATACTATATTAATAAGCTTGTTTTATTCCAATTGCATAAACATTATACAGTTAGGAAGTCTCTGGCTGAACTAGTTTATAAATATTTCATTTAATAATTCTATTCATTAACGACCAACATAATTACAATACTTACATACAGAATACAAGTAATACTTCCAAAAATAAAAAATATTATAGATTTACATATATCATAAATGTTCTTATAAGGTTGACATATCTGTGTCATCATAGCTCCTAAATGAAATGGATTGGACCGAATTATAAAAAGTTCGTATCATTCATTCACTATCTTTTAACAAATTTATAATTAAAGTCATGTAGTTGGTATATGCACATAGTTATTTTTATGTACTGATTTGTAAGATTGAGCTACATTGTATGTGAAAAACCAATATTTAATATTGATTAACCTTACCTTCTGGGTCACCGGTATTAATATTAGAACGAATATGGGGTTCAACACTTGCATCTGATCAGGTTTGACTGTCAGGAAGCCGAATCTACCATCCAGTTTTGTAGCTTGCAATGTCCATCTTGATCCCTGTATTAAATAGAAAAAGAATCTTCATTTTAATAAAATTAATATAAGCACTTTTGAATATCATATTTTTTATTCGGAATTATTAATTCAATTAATTTTAATATTAATGTATGTGATATCGTTTATAAAATACTGTTTGTAATTAGCTATGTAATATTATCTTATCAGCGGCCTAAAATAAAATAGAAGCCAATAGACTATCAGCGCTAGAGGTATGTCTGTAGCTTTATGCTGAGTTGGTTGTTGAGCATTCAGTTTTTCATCTACATTTTTTGTGTATCTTTTATGTTGTATTTGTAATTGGTTAAAAAACAACAATTATTTCTCTGCCTAGATAGATAGTTAATTTAAACCTGAAAAACCAGTTAAGTAGAAGTCATATAAATCCATAGTTTTGTAATTTCGTACATATTAAGACTAGGAACATGACACTATGTTAATTATTTTGGGCCAACAAGAAAACTCTCCACTATTTTTTTATTTGTACCGTGTGAGGAATCGAACACGCGATCGAAAGGAAATCGATATTCTAAACCGCTAGGCCAACGAGGCCGTAAATAAAATAAGCATGTTAGTTCAATACAAATACATAGGTAAGTATAAACTAATATAAATTTAAACTAACCATTTGATCCAGTAACGCCCAGAAGATGGGTGTGACTGTGAAAAGCTTGAGTACAGATAATGTCTTCTTGATATCCTTTATAAACCTTTGGTCATAATGAACTCGGGTGCTGTCCAACCAATGTACATCTTTTTCATTCTCATTCCGTCTTAGGGCAACATTTTTCAAACCTAACTACAAAATAGATCACATGCAAAGTGTCTAAGCAAATATGAACACTATAACATTGACAAAAGGCTTTCAATCTAATGTGATTGTGAGAAATTAATTTGATAAAAATACACACATTTTTTTACAATAAAAAACAATAATTATTTGAATATTATATCGATAATAATCTAACTTCCGAATTCAAAGTTAAAAGAAATATCAGAGTAATATTAAAAAATATTATTTCTAATAATTAAATTGAAGAATTCGGATATAAATTATAGAGTAGTCTATTCCGGTAACTTTAGTAATATTTATATTAGTTTGACACAGTAACAAAAACTAATATATGATATAAGCTATGGAGAAAACTACGAAGAATATTATTCATTTACTTACAGAAATGCATTTTATAAAATCAAACACAATGTTGCCCTCAGGCTTCTTCATCACATATCTATTTTTGGCACTGACGAATATCACTGAAAATAACAATACAAAAATACTGCAAATCTATTATTATATTAGTAATACACATAGTATAGACATAAATAATTCTTGTGTGAACATTATTCATAATTTCTGTAATAATATTGAGCCAAAACTCTCTCTGAAGATACATATTCTTTATTCCATGAAATATTATGAATATTATTATTTAATTTCATATTGAAAATATATACATTTCATCTATGAGTATATATCTTTCTTTCTATAGTATCTTTATGATCAATGAGTAAGTATAAATTAATTTATGTAGGTATATCAGAATGTGTATATATTTTCCTTTTACTAATCGTATTTATGTCTAGTCCTATGTCCAGCAGTGGACGTCTTCCGTATTTATTATTTTTATATGATTATGAAATGGTGCACCCGCCTGCGCTAACGGTTTACGCTGCGAGGTACAAGTGGAGATTGATAAGATGAACATGAGGTCAGGTCAGTTAGCCCACCGTCATAAATTCACCTGACTGGTAGAAACTGCCATCAGATATTAAGTCCGCCATGTATACAATTTATGCAGGAGAATAAATAAATAAATACAGGGTCAATCGAAAAATATTAATATTCTAGAAAACTGGTCTGACCTTATGCTTGCGTATCATGCGCCACTGGTCCCCCGCCAGCGTAAAATGTTAGCTCAGGCGGGTGCACCATTCTATTATCATCCATTAACGACTATATGTAATTTACTGTGAACTAGGCCTAATATTGTTTAAACAAATTCTGTATTTATGAAAACATGGAAATTTTACGTCAACAGTCATGTGAACAAGGTTCTGTTTATATTATTAACAATAAGTAAATATAGACAAAGGTGTATAAATAATGTTATATGAATAGAAAATAACTGTGCGGAACAAAATTAAATAGATTTTCTCTAAATAGACACATCATATTTCTGTACTTTGCTCGGATGAAAGCAAGCAGAGATAACGCCGTCTAAATATTATTGCAATCAACTTTATTAGGTCTACATTTGTTATACCAGTTCTTGCTGGATCTTGTTTAATAAAAACAGTTCTTTAATGTATATTTTGATAAGAGTTCAATGTTCTGGGAAAGTTCTTTTATTTCAAAATGTTCAAATGATATTCATTAGCATGTACGTACACTCGGTAGCTTAGTAATTAGAAGATACTACTAGTCTAAAGTTCAAATCCAGTGAGTTTTTAAAACATTTTCTCAAGAATGGCATATCCACAGGGACATAGTCCAATGTAATAGTCGTATCAGCAATACGTGCTATTAATTAAGGAAATAATTTTGCTAGGAAGACAAACTAAGTATTGTCTATTGCGCACTGCACGTACTAGAACCGTGTCACCTCACCTTACATTTCTCTATTGTTATATCTATTAGTATATATTCCATCTTTGTTGCACTTTATACTAGACATAGTAATAATAATTAAAGACAACATGCGACTATTTTACTCAGTATACTATCATATGATAATATATTATATCAGCTCAACAAACAACATCGTCTTACTATCCCGCAAAATATTTTATATTTTACTTCATTATTGGAATGAAATAAATTTAGAGAATTGACAGAATTCTATGCACTAAAATTTGATATCAAGAAAAACTAACTTTTATAACAATAAATTAAAAAGAGAAATATGGCAAGGTTTAGTTTTCATATGAGTAGGTATATATGAAAACGCATAATGCATAATTGCATTTTTCATCTCAATCTAACGCATAAATTATATCAACACAGAATTATCATTCGAAGAACAAGAACAAGAGCTATTTATTGAAAAAGGAATCCAAAATCCGTAATTAAATATAAAACCACGAAATCAACAATTAATAAAAACATGATAATTATTACAGTCTTAGACAGATAACCAAAATCTTTATACAGTCTTGACGGTCTATTAGAAACTTAAAATCTCCTTTTGGCACGTTAGTTTGAAATAGATATCAACTCACCTATAGACACGAGAATGATGAGGCCTGGCGCTCCAAACGCTAAGGAATAACAGTCCTTATCTCCAAAGCAATGTACTTCAGATCTCAGTATAGGTGACACAGTTTTAGCTATAAGGCTCCCAGTGCCTATATTGAAGTACAGTATACTAAAATAGATTGCAAGGTAGTGTTCCTGCTCTGGAAATTTAAACTGATCTCCGCCGAATGCTGTGACACACGGTTTTATACCTCCAGTGCCGATTGTTATCATAAAAAGACCAATTAAAGTACATATTCTGGAATAAAAACATTTTTATAACTATTATATATATAAAAACATTTTTATAAATAATTTATACATATACAAATATTGCAATTTGGCAATTTGTATTCATACGAAATCTTAATAATGCTTTACAACATTTATTTAAAAGAGCAACACGCAAGTTTGTTTTTATTTTCAGGCTATTTTCAGGTAGGTTCAAAAAATTGTGACTATTCCAAAGTGCTGAAAGTTTATTTTAATAAAGATTATTTCTATTTCTATTTCACAAATCCTATATTATGAGATCAAAATTATGACAGCTTTACGCTCGCCTTCTAACTTGATAGAGACCAAGCCACTCTACCTATACCATTTGGAACAGTCTGAAAACATATATTATGTGTATTTAACAATACAATTTTTAAGTTTATACATTACAAATATATAAACAGCCAAATCTTTCCTGATTATAAATATCATAGATATTAATTATACTTTTAATTACTCTAGTTAAATAATCAACATACTCACCGGCCAGGTAGAGCCAATTGGGGTATAGCAGTGACAGCAACCAAAATGTTCCCCGCTGCATATACAAACATCATATACAGTATTGTCCTGAAATGGATTATTTAAAAGTATTAGTAGCATATCATTGTCTCACTAATATCTATTATAGGATTGACATCTTAGTCTGCTGGAATGGCGACACATGAGCAGTACCACTTATTCTCAGGTCACCACTTATCAACAGGTAAGCTTGCTTATTAATTAATTAATACCTACATAAAAATAAGTATTAATTTATAGTAGACAGCGTATTGAAAAATATTCTCAATAATAATTATTCGATGCCCCAATAATAATATTCAACAACAAATTCCAAAAATATATCAAATTTATAATATTAGTATGGACATTCTAATAGTATCCTATAATAATAATTAATAATAATCCATACTAAAGATAATATTTAAATATTTTCTTTATACAATACCTGAATTTGCCCAGATAGTTGTCAGCTAGAATACCACCAATGATTGGGAAAAGGTAGACTAAAGTACTGAAAATGTGGTACGTTTCGGTTGCACCATCATCAGAATAGCCTAATTTGCTACGCAAATAAAGAGTAAGGAACGCTGAAATAAAAAAAATATTTTTAGTAACTAAATGTGTTTAAATTTTTTAATATCAATTCGATTTCATTACTATTTATTGTTACTACATGTTTATGTCAAATGTATCATACTGACTATTCACGTAACAACCTAATTATAATAATAGGATTCATTTCGTATTATACGGTATTATAACCAACATATACAATATATAGTACATCGTTGTTTTGATTGCATAATATATTCCTATATTCCATATCGATTACAATTGTGTTTTCATTAAGGATTATCATAAACAATAATAATATTTTACATATAATCGTAAAGTTTGTATAAATACATAGGTAGATCCTATCTATGATACCATTGCTAGCAATGGCACCTAGATATTTAAGCAGTCCACTTGAAGACCCACAGAGGTAATATTCCCAGACCAATTGAATTAACTTCATTATCATATTTCATCATTCAATGACGACCCGCCAACGTATACTATTGACACAGCCTAGATACATCTTTCCATTATCTTCCTTAAAAACATAGTACCCAAAACTAAAACTCTGCTTAATTTGTGTCTAGATGACCTAGATTGATAAGAAAGAAATAAAAACTTGGATACTCTGAAAACAAATTCCGAGGCTTCATCCGTACTGTACTAACCCTACATCTTCGGTTCCCATGAGTATACCTAAAAAGCCCTTTTACGGACGCCTACAAAAACATGTGCAGAATTTAAATTTCTAGATCTACTTAGTAGTTTTGACGTGCGTTACATAAATTTAGGACATTTGCTGCCCCAATGTATATTCTCTGAGTTACCCTAATAGACAAACAACATCGTTTATTAGATATCTTATGATGAACTACACAATTTCGCGAATTGATTTTTAAGGTAAGTCGTAACCAGGGATTTTAAGGAGATAGAGAGAGAGAGACCGAAACTATCGGATATCCGATATAAAAAAAAATCCGTAACCGTAACCGAATCCAAAATAAAAGTTCCGGACAATATCGGATAGGGACGGAGCCTAATTTAGACACGATATGTAACCATGTTATTAGCTATTTGTATTTTACTTCTGTAATTCCTTAAAAAAATATTATACGTAACCGAAATTATCCGAAAGTAACGGATAATCTGAAATAATTTCATATCCGCATCCGTATCCGTATCCGGTATAATAATCATTCCTATATCCGAAACCTATCCGTATCCGAAATTTCATATCCATAACATCCCTGGTCGTAACCATACCATCGAGGGATGTTAATCCCTATTGCTAGCAATATACCATGTCAGATTGACTCCACGCGTTTCCCCCTGAAAACCATCGTGATAAACTCCTGATAAATTTACTTATCTTACCTCTCATTCCAGAATATGAAAAGCGTTCGCAAAATTCTGCCAAAATAATTATAATGACTACTCTCGGAAATTTGTCCTTGGCCTGAAACAATATAAGACTAATTTAAGAGGGTTGACAAGGGTTCGTGTGGACTAATCAAAGACATTGCTAAGTCTGACAACAATGGTACTACCTGTCAACATTTAAATATATATTTACAATTGTAGATGCAATTCTGAACTATAATAATATATATATGAGGAAACTGAACTCATTAATGCAATAAATTCTATAATCTAAAAGATTTTTTCGACAAGTGTAGCGTATATACACCGAATCTTATTCGATAATTGTTTCTATTCATATTGTTAAAGTGTACTGTCATGTTAGTCCCATATAAATTCTGTATCTGGATTGGGGTCAGTTGTTGTACTCGGGTACTAACTAATTATATTACACTTTTTTCTAACACATGCAATTTGACATTACCATGTGAAAGTGGGGTGAATGGCAGAAAAACGTGAAACTATCCATATTTAATCATATAAAAACATCAAAATAAAAAAATAATAGGATTAAATATTTGTTATACTGAAGCTGAAGTTTGTTTGTATGATTGTTTGAAAAAAATCATGTAGTACAGTTTGTGCTAAGACTACATGCATTTATTTATTATTTACTATTAGGTATTACGGGCTTTTCTGTATATTATTTTCCATGACTATAATATAGAGATACAAATATTCCGATAAAAAACAATTTCTTAGCAATTTTTATTTATATATTTGCAAAGATTATTATCTTTGCAAATATACCCATATATTTATTTGTTCATTTTACAAATTCAGATCGACTCGTTGTTGCCTAACGATATCTAGGTAAGTACGTATTGGTAGACGATTGTCGCATTTGCATTTGAATTTCAATAAATTAGATTCAAGAGTTTGCAATGGCTTCGGTGAAACTTCATTGATTTTCCGATAAACTAAAGTACAGCGTAGATACTTAACCTTGTTATTAATAAATGAATTTTATTGGAGAAATATCGGATTTATCGGATGTTAAAACGATATTAAAATAACAAACGTCCTGCTGATTATCCGTGTAAATACATGGCTCTTAACATCTTTAACATCCTCATGTATTCTTTATTCTAAACGAGTATGGATAATAAAACATTTTAGTGAAACTGCTTCATAGACTAGAGAAACATAAGTGAAACAAACAAAAATACATAATATTAAGTATCTTGTAGATCTGGGTCAACCTGAAAGAGCCTTGTATTGTACATACATAATAGCTTTAATTGACCTGTTAAGGATCAACAGGACCAAACCTTCAGTTATCTTCACCTCACAATTAACTACATACTTTGAAGTTTTTTAACAGTTTCAATGATTAATGTCCAAGCTCTATCTAATTGGTCCGTAACATTAGCATATCTACCTGAACACGATCACTTTACTTGGAGGACGCATGAATTTCTTGGACTTCAGTCCTGGTCAACTTTTTATTTTTTAGTTAGAATATACAATTCTTTAATTTAAGTAATGGCTTGATCGTCATCAGATATGATATACTAAATCAACGTTGGATATTGTGGTAGCACATATATATATATCTACAGTAATATATTAATAGACTGATTACTCTATTAATATATTTTTATATTGATAATCTGATTAGATTATCAATATAAAAATTCGATAGTTGACAAAAATACTATTTATACAAAGGTTTTTACATCCTGTCTAACTATTATATATTGAAAATTATTACATTTAACTTTATTGGGTTAAATCTGTTTTTATCCCGACAATCATAAAACTTTTTATATAACAACAGAATGTTATATTATTAATAAATAATTCGAATGCACCAACCAACCTATAGAATTCAAAAGTTACTTATTTTTATTTCTGTCAATTTTATGTTATACTACGAACCGCAAGTTGAGCACTACTGGTATACAAAGCGATACTTTACAACCTAAGCCCACGAACGTGTCTTGCATACAATCTCTTTGACTTATATAGACAAACTCGATTTAACTCCTGCGCTGGTACAGTTGTCGGACTGAACTGTACCAAATTGAGTATACGAAGTCATAAAAAGGTTAACCTAAAGCTTACGCCTCAGTGCAAGCGCTGCCGCAGTACTAAAATTAATTAAAAACTCTTATTTCGTTATTAAACGACAAACAGTAATCATGAAAGATTTTTTCGTTACTTATATGGTTGGAATGAATATATGTTAGTTCACTTAATAAAATAGAATACTAGTTACTCGCCCCGGCGCCCGGATGTATATGTATTATACATATAAACCTTCCTCTTGAATCACTCTATTAAAAAACCGCTTCAAAATCCGTAGCGTAGTTTGAAAGATTTTAAATATAAATCTTACTATAATAATATTATAAACGCAAAAGTTTGTGACTATGGATGAATGTTTGTTATTCTTTCACACGAAAACTACTCAACGGATTTTGATGAAACTTTACAGTAATATAGCATATCATTAGAATAACATGGCTGTAAATTTCATGCGGGTAAAACCGCAGGCGCAGCTAGTATAATATATAATATTTATATTTTATTGTTCCCTCTGAAAGGCTAAAAATCGCGCTTCGCTATCGCTATCGCCTTTTGACGAGAGATACTAGTCTTTTACTATAACGCTCTTGGCGCGAGCCGCCAATTGAAACTCTTCGGTTTAAATAAACTAAATTCAGTTATGATTCGTGTAAATCTGACTTTATTCCAAGAAGGACCACAGTGTTTGTTTCAATTGATTACATTATCATTCCGTATGCATACTAGGTTAGTCGTTAAGCTACACCAAACTGAAAATCTGTTAATAGGCACTATAAGTAATAATGCACTTTTTTAACATACTGTTGTTGTTATTTATATATTATCTGTGCGCAATAAAGAGTTATTATTATTATTATTCCTAACTTCCAAAAAAAATCATTATTATTATACTATAATTTAAGAAACTGAAATTAGTGCAAGGCTTTGTGCACTTTGAGATCTATTTTTTTATTTTGTTTCGTGGTGACATTTGTTCACTTATCACTAGATTTATATTTTGGTATACTCTTTACTATTGACCTTGTATAGTTCATCTGTTTTAATTTTAAATAACTTATTACAATAAAAATATAGGTCTTATTCTTTATTATTTACAAAGTATAAAAAAAAATAAGTCATCACAAAGTATGTGGAGACACTATTGTAGGTACTATATCAATCAATTGACTATTTCTGACACTGTATCAGACAAAAATCACTAGATATTCCAAAGACACAAAAAAATGTAGGTACGGACCGTAGGCGGAGCTCGCAGGTCGGTGTGAGTCAAATCCATCTTCTTAGACATTAACACACGGCACTTTCAACAGAATATTAGAACTAAAATAATGTAATAATACGTAACATCTCTCTTTTATTGTTGTCAGTGCAAACACGTGTTTAGATCAAACTCGTCATATCTATAGTACAGCTTAACCAGTCATATTATTGTGTACACAGCCTTAAGTAAGCAGCAACTGTTTGTCAATTTGGTTGTAGTTGTGAACAAGTCTTTACTCGCGGTTCCGTTTATGCAAATAGCATTTTTACTCTATTAAATAATAATAATAATATCAACTATGGGTTGCAGCGTACGAGGAATCGAAACCACGATACGCAGTAAGGCGATGTGCTAAATCGCTGAACTGCCGTGGCCATTAAAATGAAATGAAATTTTATACAAACATTGATATTCATATGTATAATTGTTTGTATTGTATATGTATGTTTTCTATATAAATTAATAATAATTTATTTAGAAAACACCCAGATATATTTTTTTAAAACCAGACATAAATATGAATTAAAAAAAAAAATCTAAGTTGTACAGTAGCCATTACACAATCTCTGCTTAGCTTGCGACTGGATGGTTCTGTGTAATTTATTTTAGGATATTACTATGATTCCATTTGCTACCATACTAAATTCACATAGCAATCATTTCGTCATTAACAATGAAGTTATGCTGTGATGATATAAGCCTAGTAACAATTGTAAGTCACTTATTTTCGTCATATTTAGCTACAACCGACTTATTAAATTACCTATTTAATATATGTAAACCAGGCATTAGTTATCTATATAACTACTTAAACGTAAGCCAGTCAGCACTTAGTGCTGACTGAAGAAACAAAGTGCATCAGACTAGCGTTAGAAAAGAAAAAATTTAAGCTAGTTTGCTTTATGTTTATTTAGCCGAGTTGCTCAGCCAAAATGACTCTTGTAGACAGTAAAGTTGCTTTTTTTTGTTTATTGTGAATCTTACTAATATTATAATCGCGAAAGTTTGTGAGTATGGATGGATAGATGGATGTTTGATACATAGGCTATAAATTTCAAGCTGGTGTAACCGCAGTGTCTTATACCAAACCGCTTAGGCAAAATGGCTTTTATCAGTATATTGAAGTTGATTTTTTTTCTTGTGTATCTATTGTAAAATATCCTATTAAATTATTTTATGAACACACACGCTTGCAATTATAATTACCGTATGTACGTTTGTAAATTTATAATTAAAACCATAAAATTATTATACAACTAAACGTTATGATAAACTAACTTTGATTTATACTTACAAAGATATATATACTTATGTTAGATAATTATCAGTACAGTGACATTTATTTATACATCCCATGATCATAATATGGAGGTGTGGTTGATGACATGGTTGTAGAGGAACTCGGGGCAATTATAGGCTATTAAAGGTATATTTTTTATTGAAATCAAATCAGAAATAATTTATTTATGTAGGAGATTTTCCTGCGGGCGCCGACTCCATCGTGTGGCAGAGATAGATACTCCGATCAGTTCCCGGGACGGATGTTGGTTTCTGCTTGGTTGGTTCCTGGCAGTATCATATATACTTACATACCTATATCAATCTTTATAGTACCAGGAAATCCAAAAAGTGTTATTGAAAGCCGTCCAACTCGAAATTAAATTGAAATCGAATAAAAACTTCATTACTAACAATTCTATTTTCAGAGCATCTCTTACAGAACACAGAATTGAAGACGAAAATCTAGAATGTTCTTACACCCTTGATATAGATAGCCCTGGAAGAATATTATAATGTAATGTCATCCCAATTACTAAAAATATAGCTTCATTCACGCTTCCTCCTGGAAACCATCTTAATTAATTGCTAGTGAATTCGCACGATGTGTTAATTAATCTGTCTTTATTCGAATTTCATCATTAACTGGTGGTCAACTTACCTGGTAACTAGACATTAACCATAGTCTATATACATATTACGTATTGTTGTACCGATGGGTATGGCTTATTCTGCTGAATAATCCCTCAATAGTTTTATAAGATTAAAAAAAAAGAAAAAACCATAGATACCTACTGCTATTCAGTTAGGTTCTTATATATATGTAAAATGTAGCATATTGATTATATAAAATACCTACCTAAGTATTTTCCGTTGTTATGTGGAAAATACATTATTACCTTCATTCAACCTTCACAATTTGTTCTATGTCATACCATTTGTGTGTTTGTTCATTGTCAACTTCCAAACCTGAGGTGTGGGAATGTTTATTTGGGACTTAAAGGACAACAGAACACAAGTTCACTGATCTATTTCGCTTTCAGTGTTCTGTACACAGAAAGTTCATTGAACTATTTAATTTATTCTATTTTACGTTTCCAATCCCACTCCACTCCTTTCCATACCTAAACAGTTATAATAAGAGCCAGGATGGCGAACAAATAACCTCAAATAGTTACCTACTACCTACATTATTACAAAAGAAACGCTATACTATACCTCCTAACGTGGTAAGAAGCTAAATTTTACTATAAGATGAAACCTTATCTAGCAACGAGGCGATAATGAATTGTTACTTTTACCAAGTGAACTTTTTAGCCAAACTTTTCACCCCTTGAACATGAATACTATGTATAGTGTATATATACTAATATAAATAGAACTCAAATAGCTGATCAAAAAATATATATATATGAGGTGTTCTTTGAGATTTTTCAAATTACAAAGTTTCTAGTAAAAAGAATTAAACAGACTCATTTTTGTATAAAATTATCAATGATTACATTTAGTTTAATTATAATTTTACTAAATATAATAATATAATTTATATTTTGAGTGTATGATTTTCGCGCGCCCAGTGCACAGACTAAAGGAGACGCTACAATATCAAATAATAGATTACAAATTTTGAATCAAAAACATAGTTCAAAAAATAAAAATGATGTAACTTCATATTTACTTAGAATAAAAGTTTATAATAATTTAAAAATAATAACGATAGCTTCACAATTTGAAATCGTAACCAATTGAATAAAATAAAATGCATCATAGAGGGCGCTAATGTACTATGTCTAATATGTATCTTAATAAACATTGACAGTTTCAATTGAGCTTACAGAATATTCAATCTTAAAAATTATGATATAAAATTTACTAAATTGAAATTCTAACATATTTATGTTGATAGTTTTAACTGCATTTATTTGTATTTACCTTTATAATTGTATTTGAAAAATATTATGACAAAATTATAAGCCAAATCAAAGGATGACATTATACAAAGATTGAATATATCTATGTTTGTCTGTGGACAAAATTTAAAAAATAGACAATCGTTCTCTAACGGTCGGATGAAATGAAGTTTGTTTTCGTTTTGATTTAATTATTTTCCCAAGTTTTCAATAACTTTACTTTCATTAGGATAGGCTATCTGTTAATTATTACTAAGTAAATATAATAATAAAACAGTGAAGTGTCCTAATATGCATGTGTTTTCAAAAAAGTAAGTTAGATAATGTTTTAAAGCTGTTGTAAACAAGAAATAAATGAAATAATTTTGTCTCTGTAAGATTTATATTAATTACATCTTTTTTAAAATATTAGATTACAAAAATGAGAAAATCTAGACTTCCGTCACCTTCTCGATCACAAGGAGTACTCACTCCGCGTCGTTACAAGTCTCGTGGAACCCGTAGCGAAGGTTCTCCTGCGCGATCCAACACCTCTGATAGATTGACATCATTAATACAATTCGGAGACAATAACGCAAACTCCTTTGTGCTGTCTCCAATAAATAATAGACGGTCTTTGTTGACCGATAATACAGATATTGAGGAGCCAAAACGTAAGTATAATATAATAAGTATAAATTTTTGTAATATAAAAAAAAAAGACTACGTAGTACAGTAACTGCTTATAATCTAGCAGCCCATTTTCTTATTTGCCAGCTGTAAAATATAAATAGGTTCATACATATATTGCCTGTTTGTGACTACAGTATATCATTACATGTTTTAAACTTAGTTACCCTGTATTAAATAATGTTAACATATGTTTGGGCTATTAATATAATTGCTTTTTATTAATAATTTATAAGGCTTTGAGTATTTGAATAGGCCTCAGCTCATCTTTTCTTTATGTAAGGATTATAAAACATGGAGGCATTGATGCCTACTATGGAATAACAACATAACGTAAATAGTACTGTGGCTGGAAAAAAATATAAAGATATAATATTTGAATATTAGAATTGTCAGATATCACAGCCAACAGGATTTTATTTCATTTGACACAAAACATATTCTATTCAATAAATTGTATGTATTGTAACATAGAGTATTATGCATTATCATTGATATTAACATACATATGTATTTAATTCCAGGCCGGAGCTGGTGGAAGAAACTCAATGAAAATACTACTGATATTATGGAAGTAATGAACACTAAAACAGAAGAATTGAATAATGTTGTTGAAGAATATATTGATGTAGAAGTACTAAGGTATGAATGTCCTATGGGACTTAGTGGACACATTTGACCCTAATTATTAATGTTAATTAATAATATTAAAATAAATTTTGTTTGGTACATGCATATGAATATAAATATGGTACATACACCAAAATAACATTTTTACAATCTTTGTCTATCTGTCTGTTTGTTTTGGCTAATCTCTGAAATGGCTGGACCAATTTTTATGGGATTTATTGGCAGGTAGCTGATGTAATAAGAAGTAACTTAGGCTACTTTTATTTTAGAAAATAAAGTTAAATTCCATGTGGACAAAGTTGCGGGTACTGCTAATAATGAATAAATAATACTTCTAATCTTATGATATATTGTGCAATATTGTGATCCGATCTTGTAAATTAAATGTTTATTATAATTAGTTTTGCATGCAACTAAAAAAAGTCTAATGCCTGTTAGGCTTTTTTTTTATTCTTTTTCTATTCACTTTTTCAATATGTATATTGTACATACTTAAATATGTAAAATTATGATAAAATAACATTACATATGACATTGAAACTATTGACTAACAAAATTGTAATATAATCACCATATAAATATGACTATTCGAAGTATAAATGAATTTACACCACTACTGTAACGTTTTTTCAGCCAAGAAAAAAAGAACTATACTTTAGACTTGCCTGAGAGCAGTGATGGCGAATCTATTAGCAGTATAGTAATTCCACAACGTAAACTGTTTACTCAGAAAGAAAATCACCCACATAATAAGTTTGGACAACTTATAGAAAGTAGGGAATCATTGGCCAAACTTCATAAAACAAATACAAACCTCGAAAAATCCATAAATGTTGCGCCAAAAAATCTTTTTGGACAAAGTTCTAAGCAGAGGAATAAAATTGCATTTCCTGCTGCTCTACTTAATATTTCTCCAAATAAAACAGTTAATAAAACAAAAGCGATAGCACCAGCTGAAGAAAAGGGGCAAGTTAGGAATCTTTTTGGTAATAAAGCAGGTACTAAACGAAAAAATATATTTGCTGATTTTATTATGTCTGATAGTGAAGAGGAAATACCTGAAATACAGCCTAAAGTATTTGGTTTTCAAAGGAAATGTGATCAAATGCCACATCGCCGACGCAGTTCCGCTTCTAATGGTATTAGAGAACATTCGCCAACCTCCAGTATTACTACTGATATTGAAATGGATGATTGGAAACTATTACCATCTTCTACCATGGTTGAAAATCAATTAGAAGATATGATGGCTAGTGGTAAAACCCCTGTAAAAAGAGCCAAGTTAAGCAAACTTTCAGAAGTGAAAGAATCTGAAATTAGAAGTAACATCAGTATTGCTACTTGCAACACTGATGATAAAACAAGCCAATCCAATAAATCAAATAAATCCAAACAACAAAATATAACAGAAAAGCAAATGAATATGTCTTCCAAATCAAATAAGTCCAAGAGTACAATATCTTCTAATGCTGTTGTGGAAGAACCACAAAATGAATCTCGATTAAATAAAACTATGGATATCCAATTAAATCATTCTGTTACATTGAGATCAAAATCTATAAGTGGGGATATTGTTGACCAGTCCATAAATAAAAGCAAAAATATGTCTAATAGTATACATAAAGGTGGCCGAAAAGAACTATCAAATAGCAAAAATGTAGGTAATGATGATAAAGAAAAAGCTGTTAATATTAATATTAACGAACAATCAAACAAATCTCACCAATATGAAGCAATTCCTGTCAAGGTTGTTTTACAAGATGATGAAAACATGGAAACATCTACATGCAGCAGACCCAATATGACTATTTTAGAAAAAAGTAATTTAAATATTTGTATTAACAACAAAACGAACACTATTATTAATGATTCACAAAAACATACATCTCATAATGAAAATGTTATGTTATCAAAATCGCGACGAGTAAATAGAGTTATAAATGAAACAGAGACAGATTTATCTAAACCAAGTGATTTATCAGAACATTCAAACCAGAATGAAAACCGAAATGTTAATAAGGAATCATCTCATATTCGTATTAGTACTGCTGAACCACTTCTGGGATCTCACGACGAAGTAATAAATGATGAATTAGAAAACCTTGGTAACAAAAGTCGTAATAAGGTTAATGAAGTTCTGGTTACTAGCACTAACGACGCCTCAAATAACAACGAAAATGGAACCAAAAGTTGTGAAACCATGGAAGTTAACACTGCAAATAATCAAGAAATTGAATGTAATGATCAAAGTGATAAAGGTCATAGTGAAAATAATAGTCAACTAGAAAATGTGGAAGACAATAAAAATGTTAGTAATAATACTGATGCTGAAGAATTTGAAGATGAAATTGAAATTCAAGACAGAAATGAAAGTTTAGAGAGCCTAGATCAGAATCAGAAAGATGGGGAAAATGAATCTATTCTACAGAAAAGCCTTAACATAATTGACAATAATGAAGAAGTAGACGATGAAGACGAATTGGAGAATAATAGTGATGAGAATCAAGAGGAAGAACAAGATAGTGAAGAGACAGATAATGAAAGCGATATCAATAATAGAAGCAATTCTACTCGAGAAGAAAGTAGAAAAGAAACGGAAAATGAAAGTGAAGCAGAGGACAATACTAATGAGATTCAAAATGAAAACCAAAGCAACAAAGAAATGGATAATGAAAGTGAAGCAGAGAATGAACAAGATATTGATAATGACGACAATAGTGAGAGTTCGGAAAATAACCAACATGAAGAATTGGAAATGGATAACGAAAACGAAGTTGAGGATGAGATTGAGGAAATTCAAGAAGAGAATGAAGATGATAGTGATCAAAAATTGCAATATGAAAGTGACGAAGATCAGAATGATACTCATGATGAAGTCATGCATTCTGAAGAAGAGGAAGAATTAAATAATGAACTGGTACTAGCAAAGGATACGGAACATGAAACACCTGAAGGTCATGATAGAACCGAGATTAACCAAACAAGACTTGAAAGAAAACAAAACTCGCCTGAAGCTATCCTTTCGAATAAAACAAATCAAATTGACTCCTTTACTGTACAGGGTCGAAACACCAGTGTTAGAATGACTAAAAGTATGATCAGACCACTCAATATAAAACCAAGTCTGGCCCCCGTTAGGGAAAGTACAGGCATATCTGATGGTACTAGAAATTCAAGTGCAGAAGGATCTGGTTGGGACTCGCATAGAACTACAAGGAAGACATTACGCCAAACATTCGGACGAGACTTTACTCCTCGCAAATCTCTTAGAGCATTAGTTATGGAAAAGTCTGCAAAACGTCATACAGTTCTCAATGATGAAAATGTGGATACTAATGTACCAATAGGAGATACTGAGTTAACTGAATTGTCGAACCATGAATGCAACGATAATGAAGCAGAGTATGAATCAACACACGAAATTTCAAAGCGTACAAGACAGACAACACTGGAAATGTATTTACAAAAGATAAAGAAACAAAATATGGAAAAGAAAAAGAAAATGGTGAGTGTTATCATGTCACTTTATTATATTAAAATATGGTTTTTGTCCATTATTATTTACCTCGACAGATACCGATTTTTTTATTTCTTTCTGTGTTCACCTTGCAATCAGTCGAAGACTATGAGCAGATGTGGTAAAAGTTATGTTGCAGGTAGAGTGTACTTCACAGTTGAATCTTCTTCTCTTCTAAAGCAATCATATGTATGTTTTGGGGACTGTCAGTTCATTGGCCAGCACATTTGTTATTATTACATACATACCATACATACAAGGCACTGCTAGTTAACTGTATCTTACATTTAATAGTTACTTAAATTGTAAAATGAATCGTAAGAGACCTGATCTTAAGAATAGACAAATATTTGTTTATTTGTTAAAATTTACAGGAGGAAGCAGTCAAGAATTCATTAAAAGCTCCTACAAAAGAAATAAACCTGTTCAAAGTGCCTGCCCGACCCAATTTTATGTCACGACGAGCTGCAATAAAAACAGTTCAGAATAAAAATAAACCAAAGAATAAGCTGTTTAAAGCAACTATGATACCTTTAGATGATCTGCCATCAGAACTATTGGAAGACATGAAATACAAACCACCACCGAGATTCCAACCTAGAAATGCGTCTTGGATTACAAAGCGCCTTTACAAATTCTTAGAAACCAAATTAGAGCCCAAGTAAGTAGTCTATGTCTACATATTTGAATTACTGTATTCCAAACTGCTTATAAACATGACATCATACCTTACTGCATAATCGACCCGCTATTCCTTAGAAATTACCTTAAAATATCCTTTTCCTTTGCTCACGACTTGTCAACGACTAGATTTCTTGTTCTAATTATTTTCTTGTGTTTATTGTTATTAGGAAGTTTTTATGAAGGAACAAATTAAGAAAGTTGCACAGAACAATAGAAAATTTAATATGGTCATTGAGTTTTCTTTAAATAGTTAAACTTTCATTAGGTAAACACTAATATGTATGATATACAAAACATAGTTAAGACAGAACAACGTCTGTCGGGTCAGCTAGTATGGTATACATACGGTACATAGTTTAAAATAATAATATGTTTAATATTTTAGGTATGATTACAAGACACGTTTACGTTCTGAGAAGTTGGTAGAAACATTATACAACTTTACAAAAGATGTACGGCGACACCCAGTCGCTCCTAACGATGCTGTCGAACTTCTGAAGCATGAGATGGCCAGATTGGATGTGGTTAAGACCCACTTTGAGTTTTACCAGTTCTTCCACGACTATATGCCTAGAGAGATAAGAGTAAAGGTAAAAAAGGAAGGAATTAATCTGTCTATACAATTAATAAAATTGCTTCGTCAGAAAAATATTGTTTGTTCTAAATAAATGTTAATAAATTTCTGCTAATTTATATTTATATCTTGAAAAACTTTGAAAAAGTCGTTTATATATATACACATTTCTCTCCGTCTCCGTCACATTTTATCGTTATATCCTCTGTACTATTTGTGTATATAGGTAACAATTACCACTTAACATCAGATTGTTTGCCATACGACTTACATAAAGGCAAAAAACTGCATTAAAATCCGTTGCGTATTAAGCGAGCAGACAGCGGAAGCGACGTCATTTTATACTCTGTAGAGATACACTAAAACACCTTCCACACACTTGTTTTATTCAGGCTTAGGAAAAATATATAAGAAGACCGGATGGTACGTTATGTACATTATTCGATATGTCGATAAATTATATATACACATAGTTAATCTTACATTCTATTTCCAGGTTAACCCCGATGTAGTGAATGGAATACCTTTACCAAGACACGGTGTATTTGCTAATATATTGTGAAAACACTATCATAGATTGATAGCATGCGAAGATCATGTCATCGAGGAGCATGTTACGTTGAATGGAGATATACTATTGTTCTTACACCTCCCGCAAATTCACGCCGATGACGTCTCATGTGTTAATTTTTTAAATGGAAAAGAATAACTGTTACTTTAGAATTATTAATTAAATATTTTATATTTGCATTATATGCTTTTCATTCCAAATATTAATGCCTTGCTTCATCTGTTGATATTGACTGTAGATAGAGTAAGTATCACCGGTAGTCTCTTCTTTTGTGATATTTATGAATACTGTGCACAATGCATCTATTATTATTATTTTATATATTATTTATGATTTTATTGTCTATTATTTGATATAGAAAAACTTGTATACTTTTTCGTATAGTCATTCTTCTGTTTTCTGCTTTACTTTCCATACATATTAATGCAAAACCATATTTCCATAATTATATTTACCAACTTAATATAAATAGTCCCTTTGCTCAATTTTTTAGTCTTTTGAGCCGGATAGGTCTCCAAAGGAAATCAGATAAAAGTAGAATAATAACAATATACAAAGTTTTTCTAAATCTAATAATAGACAGCACAGACAGTAATATATGGAGTGGAGATGGGGTAAATAAAGATTACTAATATATAATACATTTTTAATGAAACTACAATAGTTTCTGGAATCTATGACTTGTTTATTCGAAAATATTATAGTAGGATACAAATGTAAAATTATACAAAAATGGAGCACCATACATAAAATTATATTGCAATTATACAGGTATGTCACAGTATGAGAATATCTAGTAGCTTTAATCAAATGGATGGTGAACATAATATTATAGCCGATAAATTTGAACTTTTTTGTCCTACACTCTATCACCCTCGTCCAATCGTAATTAGCAAAGTTAAAAGGAGATGACAACAATAGCAAACTATTCTCCATTAACAATGAAATTTGACATATCACGTTCAAATTTAACGCTATCAATTCTATATTCATAAAACAAGATTCCATATGATTTAAACTTCTTGGAGAACATACATGTGTCAACACAATAGGAAAAATACGTCTCACTTACCACTATTATGTATAGAAGGGTAAAGGCAAAGCTTAGTCTTACTATTATTGGGGCACATCCACTCTCTATCGACCTTAAAATGACTAATAATTTGGATATATAACATACTACAATAGATAATTATTTACATAAATGAAATATGTGCAATATATGTTAGTTTTTATATTATAGCCGTATAATTAGATAACTGAATTTAAGAGAAACTTACATAGAGTGAATTACTGACAATTATTTTGACTTTAGCTATACAGGTGACTACAGTACAATTAAAATGCATTGTGTATACATTCTTTAGACATGTTTAGGCATATCGCATATAAACAATTGATCTAAATGCATATTATTATACTCTGTGTTTGTTATTACACGTAGTACTTTTTTATATAAGTGGATGCACTGGTCTCATCTAGTCTGTGATACTTACACAACATAATTGTCCGATACTAACAACATGCAATGTTAATTAAGTTCAGTTAACTAATTTTACAACTAATTACATACACTAAAATTAATAGAAATTTTATCAACGGTCATGTTTATAAATATATATAAGTGTTCAATTATCTTTCACCTGACCATGGCGGTACTCAGGGCAAGACCCAGAAAATGCAAATGCAAATGTCATCTGCTAATTGCTGAAATTGTATGCCCTCTCAAAATTAATATGTTATATTAATTTTGAGAGAACCAAGCCTAGTTGTCGTCACCCCGTATGTCGCGTTTAATTTCCATGTGTATTATTTACGAAATAGGAATAATAATAATTTAGATACAATTCAGATATTTTCATTTCGGAAAATAATCACCGAATATAAGATACATACTCATAACATGTACTCATCTTATGAGTACGTATATTATATATATATATATATATATATTGAATACGTACGTATATTGCTGTCACACTGTAACTATGTAAACATTCAATCAATACAAAAGAGAACGAAAATCTGGGATGATTAGGCTACTATTAAGGTTTGTATATAACATACAAAAGTTGTCAAATACATTGGCACTAACTACACATTAACAGGTAATATAGAACTTAAATTCTGAATTGAAAATATTGAGCATAATGTATAATCATTAAAACATTCAAAATAAATGCATATGTCCGCTACATAATGTAATAGCAACAAATACATAACACTTATTCATTGACATGTATGTATAATACTAAGCTACAATTTACATACATTTCATACAATATAATAATTTATTTCTATATTAAACAACAAATATTGTTTGTCAATTGAAGACATAAAAAGCTGTAAATAACTAAATTTCATTGATTAATAATAACATTCCATCGTGCTCTCAACCAATCTGAATAAATAAGTAACATAAACTAAGTACCGCTAAAAAGCATTAATAATACGCAGTCTATTAAAATTAAAGCAGTCCAATAATATTTAAACACAATTACGATATATCTATCGACTTCTTTTACCGTGCGGAAAAAATGTGGTATAATAGTTAAGAGGGCTCTTCGACTGATATTAAAATCTTTAATAATACTTTATTACTTTATATATACGGAGGAAGGCTATTTATATAAACAGTTATTAGAAATTAACTTCCCCGTTTTTGTAAGCCATAGTCACCCTATTCGCAATAACAAAAACACTTTGTAAGTATACTTATGTACCTAGTGCTATATAAATCTGGCGAAAGATGGAATTTTTACTTTTTTTTCAGAAAACTTCGAATCACTTAGCTTTAATTGTAATTCTAATGAAACTATATATACTGTTTCTAGGTGTCTACATTGTATGGCATTGCCAGAACTTTCTCCGAACGGCAAAAAATGAAATTCAGTATAAATGTGAATAGACAACGCAAATCGTATGAACAATAAGTAATTTAAATTAATAAAGTTAAAATATATAAAATTGCTTTCTACATCAACTATGTCTGTTTTGATCTACAAGTTCGAAAATATGAACATACAGCTTTTCAAGCTGTGTATTATATATGTCAAGGTTATATAAGGATATTTAGGACATGTTTACAGAGCCAAAATCTCACTGCACCATAACACCCAAAGTTTGGTTCAAATTCATTTCGAATTTGAATATTCATTTGTAAATTGGGGCAAAGTAGGCCACATCTCCGATGCAGCGAGATTTTAGAGCCCTAAAATAATAAAATTCATTTGAATTGAATATTAAAATTAAATGTTATAGCTGTATTTTTGCCATTTACTTTATAAACGTGGCTAACTCGGAATGAAACCTTAACAACGGATTATCAATAAATTAATTTATACAATTCATCCCTATCAGGGTGATAAAACCCCGATTATATCAATTAATAACAACTAAATTCAATTTAAGTTACTGGTGAATTATCAAAACTGATACATCCCAGTAACAAACTAATGGAAACTAGAATTTTGTTTATTCATGGCTCGTGAGTCGATAAACAATCACAACACATTGTTATAATAATATTTTGACTTAGGTTTTAGTCCTTGAATTCAAAATAAATAAGGTCTAAAATTAAATAATACATAAGCAGTTTGAATTATGTCACATTATTTATGCCTATCATATAATAATATGGAATAAGTAAAGAAAAATAAATTTTAATTTACATTATCACTATTATTAACAATTTTTTGTATCTAATATTCACCTTCCTTATTACTAACTTCTCTCACATTCATGTTATTATTATAAAATTAAACTTATATTAAAAGAGAATGTAATATAAAATAAGAAATATGGACAATTCATTATAGAACAAAATTCCAGCTAAAATAAGATGTGTCAATGGTTAGGCCTTTCATAAAAAATACAATAAAAAGACTACTCAAATAATCTAAAACATATTACCTTTATTATATAAGGATGTACACTTGTGGTCCCGATCTTTTGGTTTTTAATGCAGAATTAAATATATTACATATTACAAAAGCAAAATAAAATTCATCACATTTTACAGCTTTTTTGTTTTCAAGAATAAAGAATTTAACTTTCTATTGCATTAGAACAAAATTTTCTATTAGCTTTTTAACTGTTTGCTTCTCTTTTTTCTCGAACAATCTTTTTATTGAAAAAAAAGTGAGTTCTATAGTTTTCGACTATATTATATTTCTATTTTTATGAACAAGTAGTCTTTATTAAACTCTCATTTGTTTATATCAGTAAAACAATTCAGCTAAGCAACTTTATTCAAATATAGGCCTAATATGACAATTTCCACCCATACTGAACACTATACATGTCTTTTAAAATAATCTGTTTAAAAATTAACCCAACCGGTAAACAACCATTAATTTCTAAAATTATAATACTAAATATAAAAAGTAAAAATAGCCTTTAAAAAAGCACTTTGAGCCAAATTATTGACAATTGAGGCAGGCGGTTTATTAGACGGTACCTCTAATGACTAAAAGGGAAAAAGCATTAACGTATGCTTATAATTAAACGAAATGTCAACTCCTAAATCGTTGTACATTTGAGCTCTAAAAACTTTTTAAACATACTACGTTGGCAGCAGTTTTACCAAAAAAAATTTAATTCTTGAAAGTTGCTTCATCAACATAAAAAAAATATTGTCACTTTTTTCTGTTGGTTTATTGGTCCATTGGAAAATAAACCCATCATAATAGGTTAAAGCTAGTCGAGTTTAATATGGAATAATATAATACTTTAATTTATATTTTCGCCATTTACCAAATTATAAAATAATGGACTAATTACGTTTTCTAAAAGAAAATTTCGTTAGAGAATTGACGTGAACGCCGCCAAAGTTAAACATTGTATTATACATATAAATTCCTTACGTCATTACACGTTACTGTACATGTAAGTAGTAATTATATCTTGTTTATACATTGACCATTTTGCAGCCCCAAAACCTGTTAATGTCTCAAAATCTTGCCACAAAAAAAAACAATCGACTTGTGAGCACCGATTTACAGCGCTGGTGATTACAGTGACCAAATGATTTTTTATAGCATAGGGCACAAACGAGCTTCCGGTTCACCTGATGGTAAGTAATTACCGCCGCCAATGAGCACCTACAACACCAAAGGAGTTGTAAGTGTGTTGCCGACTATTTAAGAACAACCTCTTTTCTTGAAGGTTTCAATATCGTATCTGTTCGGAAATACTATTTCTGGAAGGTGATTACACAAGATGTTTGAAATTTTGGTACCGCAAAAAGATTACGTAAACTTGTCCTAATAAATACAAAATGGTTATCAGTGAGCAAGCTACCACTGTGAATAGGGTATCTAATTAGCGTGGATGACAAGGTAGCAATTCCACGTAATTGGCAGGGAACAGACCAAAAACACCGTGGGGCCCGAGACCTTGCCACCAGCCGGCGTCGATCTGCTCGATGTGCGTGATGATGTCGCCGGGGTCAAATGTAATCTCAGATTCGTCCGCTAAAAATTAAATTTATACAATCAGGGTAAGATATGGCTGTAAAATTACAAGACTTGTAATTTATTTATAAATTCTTATTCATTTCTAATATGGTTGTACATGTTTACAATAATACAGATTAATTTTTAAATACAAATTTGGGATAATAGAGTGACCACCAGCATATGCTATGCTAATTGTGTCAAAGGCAAATAGTCAAATTAGTATTTGTAGACCTGCAGCACCCGTTAACGAGTATGATGGATGAGACAGCCATCACTGCACTCAATCACATTAGAGGGAACACAAAGACTCGGCCCACCACGTCGCCACAAGTTTGAACTTTATAGCCTATTTGAACGGCAGAAATAATAAAACAATTTGCAGTAAATTTAAGAGATACCACATACAATACTATGAATGACATTATTAAATAATCAAGGGAGGATTTTATTTATAGCTATATACATACCGGCTTGATAGTCGTATAGCGCTCTTGCCGTTAGTCCAGGATCTTCATCTAGATCCTCGTATATTGTGCCTTCGTCCTCTACAGCTTCTGGAGATACATCTGTAACGCAAATCGACTATGATTGAGAAACAAAAAAAAGAGTAATTTATAACACGATAAAAATACTTAAATTATTAATTGTATCTCAAGATGGAGAATAAATAAAATTGTAATCCATTTGGTTTACAATTTTGATTAGGAATATTAACATCATAAATATATACAAAATTATTTTTGAGACACCAAGATGAATGCCACAATACATATGGAATTTAGATATGCACTCAGTCGAGTGGATATCAAAACATAAATTTTGAATTTTTAATACTAAAAATGTTTTCAATTATGCTGTTTGGAATCTAATGTCTAATCTGGGAATATTGTTCAGTTTCATAAATAGCACTGTAGTAATAGGTATGCTTTTTAATCGTCAAACTTATAGAATATAATTTATAAATATATGTAGTACCTTCATAAGTGGTAGTGCCATTCTGTTCTTTCTTATAATTGACGTTCTCTATAACTGTATTCTGCCTGCTGAGTTCCGATCGTTCGTTTTCCTCCGCAATATTATTCTTACTATACGGCGACCGTTTGATCGTACTGAACTTGTTATCACTGTCATCATCATCATTCTCGTTCGAACTAGAATATGACGCATCGAACATATCATTCTCTAGAATATTCTGTTTTATCATCGGCTCGCTCTGCTTCAACGAGTCAGCTTCTATATCTCTGTATGTATTCTCGTTTTGTTTGTATTCCGAATAGTTTATGGCGCTGAACGATCCCGGCTCATTCTCTGTACTTGGACTCAGATCGGCTGAGGGATCTATGATAGGCTCGTATTGTATCTGCGAAGGACTTTCTAGACTCATTTTTATTTTGTCTATATTCTTTAACGGGCTTGTTTTGGTTGATTCGACGGGTTCTTCTTGTAGTGTCGACTTCGTTTCGACTTTAGACGGAGACCGCACAGGGGGCGAGGTCGGAGTTGGCGAAGCGTTTTGCGGTTGACTAAATGTGTTTATGCGTTGTGCTATCACTGAGCTACGGACTGGTTTCTCTGGCACACTTGTGTTCGACCTGAAAACCGTCGGTATTATATTTTAATAGTGTATGAAAGAATTTATCTATACATTTTACAAAATAAGTCGTTGAGCATGTTCAGATTGTCCCAGTACTTTTATCTGTACTGCAGCATATTTATTTTTAAACTGAGAAATAATAATGTATAAAGTTCATTCTCATAACGGATTTTATACTTTATCATTTACGTGATTAGCTTACAGGTTTCTACCTGTTTTTTAATTTTTAAATTCATGACCACAGTATTTACTTTATAGTATCTTCGCTATAGCTTATGCTCTCTCCATAAATGATACTACTCTATGTACCCACTAGTATAAAGGCGGTCCAAAGTATGACATTGAAGAAGAGAGAGGGAATGCGTGAGAGGGATACAAAATTTTGTGACGTCATACAAATTCAAAACCTTACATAGAACACGAAACATAATATGTAACTATAAATAAAACTTAATTTATGTATAGCCCTTGAACTTTTTAGCAGAGTAGCAAGTCTCAAGTCAAGTCGCGTTGAGTGCACATGTTTACCTGTTAGCCATCTGTCCCTGCGCGAGGTTCTGTTGGAACATAGCGCGGGCGGCTGACGTGGAGGCGCCGATTAACTGCCGAGCCTCCGCTGACCGCTGCCGCCGTACAGCATCACTGGCACCAGCACCCGCACCAACAGCACCCGGCGCCGCAATCGTACTGCAAATCGATAAGAGGCATCTTAGTCGTCAGGAATGACAACGCAATGGTAATACGAGTTTCAGAAGATAACATTATTAAATAGGTGAGAGTTACTGCTTACCATGAGTATTAATTTATAAAAGTTCATTATTACTCACTTTTGCTGCTCTGTCTGTGCTCGCTTTGCCGCTTCCAGTTCATCTCTCTTCCTGACATCTTCCTCAGCTTTCCTTTTCTCCTATAACAAAGTTACGGGATTTTTACATACAATAAATTAAATTCTGACTTAGAAAAAATAATTTTATAAACTGTAATTAGGATCAAAATTTTCTACTCAACTTTTTAGTGCTAATTGACTCATTATTGGCAGTTTGTGTGCTATGTTATAATTCTATATCCAACCATGAGCAACATTTTCTACACACAATAAATTTTACAAAAAATAAATTCCAAACAATACTAGAAAACAAAACTTTCAAAAGTAAATTAAAAAGTTTTACTCCATTTATTTCCTAAATATAAACAGCAAAGATATGAAAATTTGCTCACTTCTTCCCTCCTTTTCCTCTCAGCTTCTACTCGCTTTTTTTCCTCTTGCTCCTCTTTCAACCAAAACTGATCCCTTTCCTTTGAATTAATTTCTTGAACTACAACAAAAACAAAATTTGTATATAAAATGTTTGTATATAAAATTGCACTACGTGTATACAAATAAGTGTAGAACCAAGACTATTAAGTCAATCAAATCAGAAGCAAGGCTACTTTCCCAGGCAACTTAAAGCGACGTTACTTTTCCAAAAAATTGTATATCTTGAGAGGCCAGGATTCCGTGAGCGGTTATATGTTCGAGCTATATGGATATATCTGTGTAGAATGTGAATTTGTTCATTGGCATTTTTCGCACAGCTAGTAGTGGAACATAGGCCAATTTACCATTTCAGTTATCCAAAAAAAAATAAAAGCTGCTGCTGTTTAAAGTTAATCGAAACCACATATAAGGTTTACCACATTAGTGTCGCAACTCGCTTGTCATTCAAAGTCCTTTAAAAACACATTTAATAACCACTAACTAACCTCTTCTTAAACGACTCCTCTGCCTTCTAATCACTTCAGACACTTTCACAGATGACATAATTTAATAACTAATTACTTTGAAATAAACACAGAATACATTTTTATATACAGCAACAATACTCTAGCTACGAACAGGGCTTCTCGTGACGAATGTTTGCGTTTAAAAATTGCATACAATCGATAAACAAACCGACATCGCAATTGTTATTGCTAATGTTTCAAAACAATAAACTAATGAATTTATTAGCACACGGAACCATTTGCATCGGTAATAGGCACAGCTTGATTAAATTGCTACGTACAACGTCGAATGAACGCGTCCTAATCTGGTGGTTTACTACCTCGAACTTATTGGGCTCAAAAAGAGGTGAGACCTTAAAATAGGCATTATATAGCCATATAAATTTATTTATAAACATTTAATATTACGCAGGTTTAGCCGTGAGCTACTGCTACTACCGAGCCGTAACTAAGTAATCCGAAAGTTTACTTAGACAGTATTTATGAAATTAAATATATTTTCTCAAGAAAAGTGGAAAATTGACAATAAGTTTGATATAAAATGCTCGGTCACGTGATCAATTGAGTTTAAAATGTACAATTCGTTTTTGTTAAAAATTGATCAGTATCACGAGGGATGGGCTTTGGTGCCCGGGATTACTATTTCATCCTAATCATCCTTTTTTGTACAAACGGTGATGAGGATGAAAATTCCCGCACAAAATGCGGGAATCGAACCCACAGCTATCGGCAGGTCACAGGTACAAAGGCAAAGGCAATATAAATATAAAAATTATTGCGGGGCCTTATCTAGTACTAAGCACCATTGGTTTTGCTTCTCAGGAAAACATGAACTAAAACTCGCTCGCTAGCATGCTAATTGTCATGCGACTTTTATGAGGAAATACCTGTACCCATTAGTAGATCCACAATGACTTGTGGTAATGGTAATAGATCTATGGTGATGGTGTTCTAGCGGTTTAGCAATCCGATGGTCGCAGTTTCGATTCCTCTCACGGTACAAATATTTGTATTTATGAGTATGATTGTTTCGGTGGTTTCTATGTATTTTATATATGTATCACAACAAAAATAGTAAAAATATTTATATCAGTTATCTAGTAAGAGCGTTGGGTACTTTTTTTTACAAGTGCTATAATTTCACTTTTTCTATCCCAGATTAATCAGTGGCTTAATGAAAACCTAGAAGATTTATTTAAGATTGAAACAACATTGCAAAAATAGCTTTACAAATACTTAGTAATGAGATAATCAAGTTTTTTTTATTAAATGGCAAAGTACCCACTGTGACACGTGATCCACTGTACCCTACGCTCCCCTGCCCACAACACAAGCTCTGCTTCCCATGGGACTAGATAGCGCTGTGTGAATTATTCAGGGATATTATTATAATATGTAATATTAATTTACCTGGATTCACTTTTTTATAAACAGTACCAACAGGCCCGCTAGGTGGCAACTCTTCTTGCCTGCTGGTTTTAAAATTGAACGACGATCCGGCTTTAGCCAACTTATCCAATATAACCTTCTCATCAAGGTCGTCTTCTGTCCGCGCATGCATTGTCATATGGAAGCCAGTGAAAAACTGAGCAACATGCTTGATGTGGTTTGCACAGGTTCCCTTGCGGACCGTTGGAGCACCTTCGCCCTTAAAAAAGAGATTTATTTAGCAATACCTACAATATTGCTCCGAAATAGCTGGACCAATTTTGACGGGACTTTTATTGGCAGATAGCTGATGTAATGGAGTAACTTAGGCTACTTTTATTTTAGAAAAATTCAAAACTTTTTTGTTAAATTCCATACGGACGAAGTCGCAGGTACAGCTAGTCTTTCATAAAAGACTAAATAGCAATAGCTTGAGTGTTCAAATTCTCCCAAAAATCTTTGTAATAAAGATATCTGTATCCTGAATACTTTTTGCTGTTTTTATTTTGATACTTTAAGGGAATACTTTCTTAGGTTAATGGGACAAAAAGTCCCCCGCAATCCCCCAATACTAAATCATCCCTTGACTAGAAACTTCACTACCATTCTATATTAAAACTAATTTGGACCTATAGCATTCAATTATAGGGTTCAACTGTAAAGGGCTCAAAATAATATCTTGAAGCAGCTTAATAATGCAAGTTTGCAAAACCATCTGAGGCTCATGAGTATTTCAATATAAACACAGTGTCTTGGGCTACTGTGTTAAAAGCAGTGCTGCTCTAAATACAAGAGACAGCTCATAAGTCATCCCAATGTGCTGGCCAACCAACTGATAGTCTCCAACATATATATGTCGCCTTAAAAGGCATAAGTCACTGAAACCCAATGACTATTCAAGACCACATAAAAAGACTGATGATTCTACTGGAAATCACACTCTACCCGCGACTCTAGTCTTCAACTGATTGCAAGATGAACACAGGAAAAAAAACAATAATAATATATTAATTATTACTAAGATTAGCAAACCAGCTATATGTTTTTAACTTTATTATCTTATCTCTTTTAGTAAATTCAAATTGTAACTTTTGTAAATTCTATTAGACTGTAATATCATAACATTTAATTTAGAATTATATAAACTTGGAATATATTAATGAGGAATATGAACATCCTTTGCTCATATTCATCACATTCACAGTTTTATACTATTGTAAATGTTGTCATATTTCAGAAATATCGTACACATGAAGATTCAAACAAAGACTATTTTTATTATATACAAGCTCATTTGAAAAGAATATAAGTCTCTTGTCAGTTCTTCTCAGATCGAAAGTAGTCTGAACTGATAGTAGATCTGACATATCATAAGAGTCTGTAATAGACCTATATGAATAAAGATATTCCGATTTGTTTTGATTATTGTCTATTTATTGGATGTTGGTAGCTTAGTAATTGTTCCTTAAAGAAAATAATAGTGGAAGTATAACAACCGTCATGTTCTTATTCCCCAAGGATGTCTGTGCCAAACCAGGTGTTGTGTGCTGTCTGACATATGTAGTTTACATTTTGAAATATAGAAAAAATAAAGTTAAAAATATAGTAGAAATTCACAATTCATCAAACTTCTTGTAAATATCAGCAAGAAAAGGATATTATTCTGTTTAAAAATTTATATAATATTGCGTGTATGTAACTACATTCAGAAGGAAACTGAGCCAAAATTACTTACTGTTATCCTATATACAAAGTAAACAGGAAAGTTTATTCCTTAATACACATATGACATAAATTATGAAATTATCCTCAATATTTTTTTTTATTACTTGATTATTTTGAAGATTTACTCTTCTAACAAACAAATGAGTTTCCAACTCAATCCTGAGTAATAGAAAAATATGAGACAAAAGATTAAGAGCTTAATAGGACTCATACTAATATTATAAATTTAAAAGATCTGTCTTTAAATGTGTTTCCTATCACATATCTAAATAGCTGAACAGATTTTCATGAAATTTGTAACGAAAATTGATGAATTATGGGGATTTTCTGTTATCTAAAAAAGAGACAATTTTAGAGGTAAAATGTAGTATCAAAAAATACAGATTTTATTATTCTTCTAGTAGTAAGTAGTATTATTTTTTTCAGAAAATGCATAATTGATATAGAGTAATTTTACGCCCATATCAGAACTAATCATGATAATATGCTATTAAATTGAAATAGGAAACAATAAACTGATTGTGTTAACTTCAATTGATAAATAGGTTTATTTACTTTGAATAGAAAAGATAAGATGAAAAATATAATAATTAAGAAGCTGGTGTAAGAAGTGTGTATAGACAATACCTATGGATTCTATCTTATCAGTTAGGAGACATACCTGCCAGTTGATAAGCACATACTTAGATATGCTACCATTTGGAACATCCACCTTTAAGAATGCATACTGAATTTTACCACTATTGAAATCATCAATGAGTTCCATCAGACCGCCATCCCCTTTACTGATGAATTTTAGGTCGTTCGTTAAACCATCATATCCAAACAAAGCCCTGCAATTAAATATATTTTTTTAATAGAATACACATTACAATAATTTATAAACTAAATAAGTAAGTAGATACTTAAGTTCTAGGTATATTTTATTACAGAAATAAATTGTTTCACATAACTTTATGTCAGCAGAATCAAAAATTCTCACTCGAGTCGGTTACATAGTACAGATTTTTATCTTCACCAAAAACGAGACATTAACAGTTTCTTGGACAATTGTTTTGAATTATTACTCATAAGGCAGCCAGGCGCATGCCAAGGTAATGAATATAAAGTGCTTATTTAATCAGGAGATGCTCTATTGCCTGTTTAATGTTAATTCCGTCCTCAAGTAGGTCGGCACCACGAAGCAAGGAAAGCAAAACGTACCAGTCAGTCTCAGTTTTCTCATCCAGGACATCTTTCCATGCAGCAAGTAACGCCTCCCTATGTCTGTCTAAGTTTATAGCCATTTTACATTATTTGTTAACTGAAATTTCTAGCAAAAACGGAGATATGAAAGCTAATAGCTATCATACACCGACGAGAGCTTGACTCACAACAATTAAACCACAGATTATTTACACAATTTGTGATGTTTGAATGACGTATGCTAAATGGAGTTGCCATTGCATTAAATCAAAATTGAATTCAAAAAGGCGCTACACACGATTTGCATGCTTTCGGTATTAAAGAAAATTGAACGAAATTTGTTTTGTTCTAGGTGTCCTAATTTATAGGATCCAATGAGTATAGGGTTAACAAAATCATTTGTATTAAACCGATATACCCTAAAATTTAGTATGTTCTAATTTAATGCTGGTAATACTGTATTGACCGATATCAAAGAGAGGTGATATGTTTTTAAGTATTATAAAAATTGAAGTATATCAATATCACAACGATGTATCATTAGTATACAAACTATTTAAAAAACTACATTATTATAATAGGCCTTCACTGTCGCACTGGGTAAGGTCTCCTCATATAAATTACATTTAACTGACTATCAGGGCGACATTGATATATTATATAAATTTTTATCTTAAGTTTACCTTCTGCTGTATATTTGTTGAGTTATGACAAATTGCACTTTTAAGACATCACCACATAGATATCAAAATTTTCCTACATTGTTGTTGGTTGGCTGGGTTTTACATTTCTACAATCGAATAAACAAACTCCTTCTATAACAATAATGCAATTTTTCTCACAAAGTTTTATGTGTTGCGCGCGCATTCAAAGTTTATAGCCCTCGGGTGTTGCGTGTACCTACTTTCATCTGCCGCGGCAGTCAACACCGAACCCTTGGCGGGCTAGCGCGATGTTAGCGGCAACATGATGGCATGTTTACGTTGACACAAATAATAATAAACATTGAATAACATGTGGGTTGATGTTAGTGGGCGCGAACGACAGGGTTACATGAAGCAGACCAACGGCTCCTTCATACCAGGGTGAGTGGATTAACAGTTAATAAACACAATACAAATTGGGGTTCATAAGAATTCGGGAAATTGCGATAAGCAAGGGTGCCCATTTAACTTATTGTGTCATTGACACGAAGATGAATGTATGGTTTTTTTTTTATTGTGGCGTATAAAATGAGAATAGGACACATATAGGTATTATGTCATTTTAATATAAGAACAAAAAACTATTTGAAAATACTTAAACCATTTAAACTGTGGTTGAGACATGAAGAATTATTATAGGCAGGTTCAAGATTATAGACATAGTAAAACTATTTTATAAAAATAAATACTACATATATTTTTTCTTTTTTGTATATACTACTGTGGTGGCATACGATTAAAAATTACTGTTCTGTGAAATAACAAAAGAGCATCATGACTCTGTCAGTGACTGTTTACTATCCCCAGTCACAAGTCTATGGTCGTAAGTTCAACACCGGTTGAGTACTCGAATACGAAATATTAGGGTCCACTCTTTTAAAACAATCGTTGCATTGATTTTGTTCGTATAAAATATAAGCTATAACTATTACTCGGACTGTAATAAAAAATCGATTAAAACCTTTATGAAAATTATATGAATGGTTTAGGTAGCACTGTGAAAAATAAGTAACACATATGTTAATAAAAAAATATATTATGTAAACTGCTAAAAATAATACTTCGTTTTGGTTTAATCTCTTCTTCTTGCTATCATAGAGTACATTTATAATAATTATTATTTATTTATTATCAAGCTTACTAGCCCACACAAAATACACACACAAAAATAAAATACAAATAATATCAATATAGACTAGAATTTAGTATAGACATTACAGTCTATAAATATATTACAATATTACCAAGAATTGTCATTTGTCACAACGAAGACCTTAAAGAGATAATAACAAGTGCACCGAGACCGACGACGTTGAGTTAAATTGGTTCGGGGTTATGGTTGATTGGTATGGTTAGCAAACAGTGATGTAACACTGTTGTGTCAAAGTGCGCATAATACCACGGGCCCGGCTATGAGCACAAAAAATCTAATAATTTTGTTAACATTTAAGTATTACTTATACAATATACCTACTAAAAGAACTTTACGTTTACAGACTCTTTTCTCATTTTAATAATTTTTTATGCTTTAATATCAATTTAAAATGTCTTTTTTACGTGTATACCTATAGATACACGTAGAATTTTAATATGTAGGTATTGGCACGTTCCACTGGTTTTGAAGCCCTATCTATATTATAAGTAAGTACAGATAATTTATAATTATAACTTATGAATTTTATTCGTTGTTGAATTCATCTTACATATAAACCCTATATACATCTATCGTCCATACAACGTGAAGCTATGTTTGATAAATATATAACCCCATTCGACGAATTTGCCACAGAGTATAATTAGGCCACTGGGAGCAAGTAATATAGGCAAAGAAATATAAGTTTTTCAACTCGCTTAACCAGCAGTATACAGAAATGAGTACGATATTAGGGTACTTAAAACATCGTAGAGAATCCACCTAGAATTTTGGTATTAATACTAATGCAGTTAATTCCCCAGAGACAAGCGGTCTCTCCTATTAGACTCGCTCTCCCTAGGGGCAGAGAAGCAAGCAAGGACTTGATCGGACCTCTGCAAATATAGAGTAATGGTGCAAAATATAAAATGGAATATTAATACATATATAGGTATATAAAAGGAAGCACTTATGTTTATAAATTTCGTACCTATCATAGATTACCACAATCGAAGAGAACATAATATGACGCTTACAAATATATTTTTACTGAATAACTGTCATACTCACAGAAACACGAAAATATTTCTGTCGAATTTAGGTGAAAAAACGGTGATCTCCATGACAGGTCATAACTCAAATAATTACAAACTAGCATGTCAAACAATACCGAATGCATAGGTAATTTGAATATACGTAAATACGTAATGACACCTTGCGATCTCGTGTCGTGATTTGTTTACAATACTCGATTTTCCCATTACATCGTTCCGTAATCTCACTTCCTCATCTAATTACAGTGGAGTAATAAAATGCGATGGTCTTCCGTGTCTATTCTTTTGTTTTGATAAACGAGCATAGTTTGTGGGCCGTTACATCAGTGATAGATCACAAAATATTCTGCGGATACCCTATTACAAGGGATTGAACCGAAACTGTTGAGTCATTAGTTATACCTACACTTTATGGCCACAAACACACAGAGATTCTCAATGTAACATATCGTAAATTTTTAACTTACACGAGTCTTATACATAATTACGGTAAATAGAAATCAGGTAACAAATGACTCGTTATTTGAAAGTGAACCACAAATAATTTTGTATTCTTATATATTTTTTATTTTTTAACTCTGTAAATACAACATACCTATCATTTGAATTATGCAGCTTTCACCGGCAGACATGGAACATATGTATTTCTCCAGGCTGCACAGACTTTTGTGGGGTTCACTAGTCTTTCCAATGAACGAATTATACGAAGTAGATAAATGTTTATGTATTCCCATATCCGAGTGAAAATACTATATTTCTCTCATACCTAGTCTTTACCAGCGACTTCGCGCGCTTGCCCGATGGTAAGTGATTACTGCCGCCCATGAACACTTTCCCTTTTTTGTAAAATTGTTAAATACCTTGCAAAATTTCAAGTTAGTCCTATTTTCTTGAAAGTTTAATATCGTATCCGTTCGGAAATACCATTAACGTATTTCGCATGGCAGGGGTCCGCCATTTATCCACCTGATCAAGATGGCGATTAACGTAATTACCCGAAATATCAATTTATTGTATTCCATATCAATTTTTCATTGAGTTGTGCGCCATACGAACTGATACCAAACGAACTGACTTTCACATTTATACTATTACGTAAAGAAGGAAATGATGACAAATCATTGTCATCCTACTATCGCTGCCTACTATTATCACACTGACACGGTATATGCGCGTACGTCACTATAAGATATAAAGTTTTATTAACATACTTGTGTCTACTTCTAACACATGATATTAAAATAACTAGGGGTTGAGTGAACGGGTTTGTTAGTAACATTGGTAATATGGACTAATGACCCCATTGCTAGCGATGTACCATGTCAGGATGAGTTCCCCGCAGTTCCCCCTGGAAATCATAGGTCAAGTTCCTTGTGAATTTTCCACAAAGGGACCTCATGCCAACCTTATTATCCTCCACTGGTGCCTCGCCATTGTAAACCATTACCGCATTTTTCTTTTAATAACATCCATTATCATCTCTTATAAAAATATGAATTCCTACTTTTTTGTTTTTCGAACCAACAGAAATGAAAAAATCATAAATGGCGCTGAAAGCTACCAATAATACAGTAATTAAATCCGAGTGTTTCTGAAATTAGCGTGTATTATGCATAAACAAATAGAGAACATTTCATAAATTATATATTTTACTACATACAGGTGTCATACGTAGTTAAGTTCATTATCGTAAACTTTAATCCCACAGAATATACATATAATACACCTACTGTAGTGTATGTGGAAACACTAGCAGTTTATTATCTATCGTCTCGAGCCGAGCGTACACGTACCGCCGTGCGCAAGAGGGAAGGGATTCCCTGCGCAAGCGCCGCGGAGTAAAGACGTGGAGCTATGGCTAACGAGCCGATATTACGTCGATAACAACTTACATACAAGAAGACATAAATAACAAATAAGTGAACACTACATGTGGCGACGAGGCAAAATGGATATAAATAAAGATAAGTACAAAATCATTTAATAAGATATACATATACCTACGGGTACGGAGTAATTACAAATTTAGAAGGATTATGGTGGGGCCGCACGGGGAGCGAATTATATAGACCTATACAGAAAAAACAATAGCTGGGTAACATCGGTTTACGATCGATTTGCGCCAAGTAAGTAGGTACCTAATTATAAATTGTACTTGCTATACCTATAGTGTCTCTAGCTGGTAGGAATAGTCGTATTAATAATCATTGTAGTAATATGTTTACGTATATCCGTGATTTATTATTTTTAATGTATGATAATGGTGTACTGCCTGCGCTGGCGTGGCACTGATGAAGTATGGTAGAATGAGCGGGGGGGATAGGATCGGTTGGCCCGTCGTGGTGGGTTCGTGTTAATTTGTCACGATGGTTTCTGGGGGGAGCCGCGTGGAGGTCCCTCTGGCGTGATACAATGTTAGCAGTGGGATTATTTTAACAATCCCATTCCCCCTTCCGTATTTCCGTGTTGAAATAAAAAATCGGTAATGATTGTAGTTGCCGCTGCATGTTCGTTTCATGAGGGGACGGTGACGGTGAGATGTTTAGTGGGACATCATATTACGTGATGCAATAGACCTGTGGGTATGAAGTATAATAGAGCACTGTGCGGACGACACGTTTGTTTTGCTTTATCTTTTCTAGGTGTCGATGCACTTTAATTACTTTTGGCAATAGGGCCGCCTTATTGTATTTATACAGAGGTGGTGACTAGTGTTCAAATGTCACTATTTTCTTTTAGAGTATTGCTGCAAATGGAAGTGGTCTAAAGTTCCTCTTTCTAACTGTAATGATCACATGATAACCTAATATTACATTTGGTACGGGATAATATTACGATGTTGTCGGGTGATACGATATTATTACAAATGATGGTGAGCTGACAATTGTACCTGCATTATAGTACTGATGTTGGGTATTATATACAAAACAACAATAGTAAAATCTAAGGTGGGGTGACACACACGGTTTGAGCAGTGCTTGGTGGACAATATTTATATTTGCCTTAATTGATTGCAAGTGTTGAAGTATCTGGGTAACAGTGTCCCATACATTTCGATGCGGATGAGTTGTTCGGAATACCTGCAGACTATTTTATTCTGGTATTCGAGCAGAGCCGCGAAGTAGTGTGGTTAAAATGTTTTTATTTGGATTGGATTTGGCTTTTGGATTATATAATTTATAAATAATAATTAT